TGACGTACGGGCAGCGGACTGTACGCGTAGACCTGCTACACTGAGCGTACCACTCCTGGAGCTGCCGGGGCGTAAGTGTCTCACGTGGACGTCCCTGCAGCTGCAGCTGGCCACTGCCAGACGCTCCCAACTGACCAGCTCCAGGGCGACAGCTACGACGGCTACCGCGACAACCCCAGCTAGTATACCACTCACTAAGCTGCTGAGGCGTCAGAGGCTCGCGTGAATGTCGCTGGAGCTGCATCTGGCCACCTGCCAGTAGCAGTAGCGCAGGAAAGGCAGGCGCGGCAGGCAGGCAAGCAAGCAGGCAGGCAGGCAGGCAGGCAGGCCGGCAGGTAGGCAGGCAGCCAGGCAGGCAGGCAGGCAGGCAGACAGGCAGGCAGGTAGGCAGGCAGGCAGGCAGGCAAGTAGACACGCAGGCAGACAGGCAGGCAGGCAGGCAGGCCGGCAGGCAGGCAGGCAGCCAGGCCGGCAGGCAGGCAGGCAGACAGGCAGGCCGTCAGGCAGGCAGGCAGGCGCTCACCAAAGGCTGGGAGAGCAGGGCCGGCGCTCGAGTAGGCGCACGACAGCGGCGACGTCGGGGCCGCAAAACCGGCTGCAGAGCAGGGCCGAAACAGCTGGAGGGCGCTGCCGCGTCAGCGGCAGTAGCAGGGTGGGGCCGCGTCAGCGGCAGGTCGGGGTCGTGGCAGCTGCAGGGCGGGGCCGCATCAGCGGCAGGTCGGGGCCATGGCAGCTGCTGGGCGGGGCCGCATCAGCGGCAGGTCGGGGCCGAGGCAAAGGGCCGCGCGCGGCCGCGCTAGGGAGTAGCGGGCCGCGCGCGGCTCGGCGCGGGCTGTTGCGGGCCGCGCGCGGGCCGTGCGAGGCAGGAGCAGGCCTCGCGCGGCTCGGCACGAGCTGCTGCGGGCCGCGCGCGGGCTGCGCGAGGCCGTAGCAGGCCGCGCGCGGCTCGACGCGGGCTGCGCGGGCTCGGCGCGGGCTGCGCGCGGCAGCTGCGAGCTGCGCGCGGCTCGGTGCGGGCTGCGCGCGGTTGCAGCGGGCTGTGCGCGGCTCGGTGCAGGCTGCGCGCGGCTGCAGCGGGCTGCGCGCGGCTCGGTGCGGGCTGCGCGTGGCTGCAGCGGGCTGCGCGCGACTCGGGGCGGGCTGCGCGATCTCGGTGCGGGCAGCGCGCGGTAGCAGCGTGTGTGCGGGCCCGACAGGCGTGTAGAGGCGGCGCGCGGGCCTTACGGGCCTCTAGGGGCAGCGCGCAGGCAAGGCAAGGCAAGGCAAGGCATACAAGGCAAGGCAAGGCTACGTGGGGTAGCGCGGTAACCGCAGCGGTAGGTGGGCCCGAAAAAAAAACGGTCCTACGGACCTTAGTGCTCTGAAACCATGTTAGAATCTAGCAGCAGGAATGGGTGAACTAACAGGATGCAGGAGTACAAGTAGTAAACCCTAACTAGGTTGTACCCCATGTGGGCTACCCCACTACAGCCTAGACAATATGCAGCACATATAGTTTGACACTTGTGGCCCCTGGTGTTTGTGCTCAGAGTGTGTGGTGACGTTGTGATCCATCCTGAGCTTTGTTTCTTTTGGACTGGTCTTATGACCGTACTCTGTAGGTCTTTGTTCGACACCCCTCACTTAGGCTATGGGGGTGTGTCAAATGTGTAGCCTGTAGTGAGGCTTGTCTTAGGGGGTACATCTGTTAGGGTTTCTATATGTACCCCAACCACATCAATGAAACACAACATTCTCTCATTCTAAGGGCCTGTAAGATCCCCGTGCACACAGAATCGGCCATCAAAATTAGGTGGCCGTAGCGAAAGTAACCATTTCGTGATCGGTTTGCGAATCTCGTCAATTTCAACCATCAAATTTGTGATTTGATGGCCGGAAAACTAGTCGACTCTTTTCCGACGCGTGGTCGACTTCAAATCGGCCATGCTGTCGACAGCAGCTGTCTACAGTGAGAAACGAAGTCGCATACGCTGCTACAGTGAAATTGCGACATCGTATTCATGTGTGCGACATCGTCGCACCAAGTCGTAAAAAAGGACAAACCAAAATCTTCCACCTCTGTTACAGCGGCCAGCAAAACCGTGTCAGATTTGGAGGCCACACTGAGTTGGCCGAAAATTTGTCGACCTGGTGACGACTAATCTGTCGACCTTCGCGAAAGCTTTGTCGACCAAAATGGTCGACAAAATTCAGCCAAAACGTGTGCACGGGGATCTTACACACCCTAACAGTGGCGTGGTGTTTCCAAATAACAGACTTCTAGGCCAGGATCAAGCAGCAGGACCCCGGGTGCAGCTACATCCCTCAGGAGTCCATCTGTAGACCTATCAGCTCATCGGCACAGCTAGGTCCATGGGGATTCGCTATATTATCAATACAGGTAGAGGTCCCTAACCTAACAGCAGCACCAGCTGATCCAATAGGTTTAGTCCAATAGGTCCCTAACTGGGTTGAATTTAGTTCTGGCAAGCCTCAGTTGGGTTGGGTGTTGTCGCTTTAGTACCTAATAAATTTTCATGTTACAACGTTCCAATACAAGCGAACAACCTCAATTTCCATGAATATAAGACGAATATTCACCCAAGCAATGCATGAGGTCCCAGGCTGTACCCTATTTGCAGCTTCTCAAATGAGAAGCTTCTCAATAGCATCCTGCAGGACAAGAAAAGATAACAAGAAAATCAGATATTAACAAAGCCTTCTTCAGCCGGTCACGTAATATACACCTAACATATGTGTGTGTGCTCGCACAGGAAATCGCACGATCAGAAGACTGGAAAATGGTCGAAATGAGGAAGATTTGCTAACCTTGAGGTTTTGCATCTGCGATTTGAGCTGCCTGCCTTTTTTAAAATCGATCAAAAAATCAATGCAGCTATTGATCACCGTACCTTGAGGTTTTGGATCTGCGATTTGAGCTGGCTGCCCTCGTTGGACGTCACAGAGCACGCGATCACGGGCCGCGACACGCCGCACGCGCGCCCCAGCGCTTCCCGCGACGGCACGAACACGTACGGCACGTTCTGCATCGCAGGGAAGCGGGAGGGCGCGGGGAGTTGGGGGGGGGGGAATAAGAAATCGGGATGCGGGGGAAGGGGAGAGGGGGAGGATGTTGAGGGAGCGTGTAACAAGCAGCAGGAAAAAAGAGCAGCCATCGTAAGGACACGCGATAGGCGAGACATGCGCGAGAAGGCAGCATGCAGGACAGACGCAACAGACGCAAGGAACGCACCTTATCCTCCGCGAGCAGCGGCAGGTGCAGCAGAATCTCGAGGGGCTCCGCGTCGGCCGCCATGACGACGAACTCCGAGATGCCGCGGTTCAGCGTCTTGGTCGCTGCCCATGCGGTGAACGCGAAGAAACGGAAAGACGGAAAGAGCGGGATACGATGAGGTCCCAGGACGGCTAATCCAGGGACGTAAAACCCGGGAGAACGTGGAGACGGTAAAGGTGGGTGAGAGAGAGTGGGGAAGGATGGAGGATTAAGGATAGGGGGGAGGTGGAAGGAAAGGGGGGTAGAGGAACGGACAATGATGCGCCGAGCTGGTCCAGCTAAACGCACAAACGTTAAACTTGGGAAAACTTTAAACCCCTGTGGACGTACGACCAGCATAGACGGGTGCAACCCTGGACCTGAGGAGGAGAGGAAGATAAGTCGCCGTATCGCGGTACTCACCTTCATTCGCTCCCTTGCGAAGCTGCTTGTAGTTAGAAGCCTGCTGTACAATATCGAGGATGGTGATGGTCAGCTGAGCATCAGCCAAAGGGTAAGCCTTCGGATTCACAGCCTCAGAGCCCTGCGCGAAGAACACGAACAAAACGGTTAGGCCGTTGCGAAGAACCCCACAGATCAACTCCTCCCAAAACTGGTAATTTGGTCCACCAACTAGGTTTAGACACGAGCTAAGACGTGAGGTTCGCGGCAATTTCATCATACACGAGCGGTGAAAGGGAAGAACGATCAGGAACGAGGAGGCTGCTTACCATGGCTAATCCCTGGCCGTGACCCGGGGTAACTAGGTTCAAATGGTGACGGAAACTGAAGACCAGAAACTCTGGTTACACCCAATGCTTTGGCGAGGCGAGAGACAGAAGTGCCGATGAGGTTTTGGCGATGAATAGAAAATGGCAATTGGGAGGGAGCTTCGAGAAAGCAAAGTCGCTCCCACTATCGAAATGTTGATTCTATCGAAGGGAGTCCTGACGAATTCGTAGATGAGTTTGATCTCAAGTGGAAGCTGTTCTATATATATGTGTCTATTTTTTGCGAAGTGTAGTGTAACATTCTGGCAGTTGCGACTTCTCGGCAGCCTGACTCCGAGCAATCAAACCAAGCTGGTTTTCGCCGGGCCGCTCTGACACAAACGGCCTCTTTGGCAAGCTCCCTTGTGGGTTTATCCCATTTCCCAACCTCACTCTCGCCACTCGCCATCCGTCTTCCAGCCGGAAGAAACCACCAGACAGCTACGGGAAGTATAGCCGAACCTCCCCGAGCCTGTTCGGGTCAGGCACAAATGTGCTCCCTGGTGTTCCAAGCCTGCGGAGGTCTGGCTTGCGGTGGCATGTTGACCTGTCGAACCTGTACAAACATCCATCCATCCCTCCCAACCATTTTTCTCCCCCACATGACCAATCTGGAGAACTCCGAGCACCAAGCACAAGTGGTCTTCAGTTTTAGGAGTCCCAGACTGAATGGTCTAGCAGGAACACCTGTTATCAATCCATCACGAGCCTCGTCAGTATCAGAGCGTTTGACTGATTGTAAGACCCAAACTGGAGGATAAGAATTTATCAGCTTCTGCCAGATTCTGGCCATGACGTTTTCCCAGTCTAAAGCACGATGCTGGTTGCCTCATCAGAATGGTGGAATTCCATGCTAGTTTGATCACTCCTCTGGTCGTTCTTGGTAGACGAGCTATTTATTAGCCTTCTCTGAAGTCTTGGCATGTCCACTGCCTCTTTATAGCACCAACGTACCCCATACATCAGCAGCAGCAGTCATGGTCGCTCCTTCGTCAGTCCTCAGTCTGAAAATGATTCGCAACGCGACATGGGCCAGACAGAAGCAGGACGAACCGTCGCCAACCCCGTCTGCTCGCCCAGAACGCATGCTGTACGCCTCCTTGCTACTCTTACTATTGAGATGCCTCTAAGGCCTACCTCCAGTCGTAGTTTCAAGACTATGTGAATTCCGTTTGATCGCTTGTACCGTTTTTGACGATTCGCGTTCTGCCCCTCCGAACTTTTCGAAAGCCAGTTAGATACCAGCGTTGACCATTCGCGTTCTGTTTTTTTACATCGCCGGAAGTCAGCCGATTCTAGAGACACCATTGTCCAGCTTTCCAAGTATGCTCTTACCCTAAGTGCATGCAAACACAGAAAAGTCAGATTTCATAGTCGATTCAGAAGCCACCAGATGGGATGTTGTATGCTGTATTGGACAACGCATTCTGGTCGCCTGGTCGTGCGTGAATCGACAAGCTTGGAAGCTGAGTCATTGTTATCGGCATGTGCATGGACCCGCGTGAGCGTGTGTGTGCATGCAAGCATTTGAACATATTTGTCGCCTACACACGCGGCACACCGCGGGTTTGCCACTGACTCGTGTTCCCCTTCATGCTGCTGCTGATGGTGTGATGGCACGATGGTTTGATGGGACGATGGTATGACGATATGATGGTATGGTGCGATGCTGTTGCTCTGCCATGCATCAGGGACATGTACGGGTTCGCGGTGCAGCCACAGTACGTGGACGTCTACAAGGCCTACGTTCCCGTCTACCATGTGAGTTGCCCTCATGCTGTCCGCGTTCTGAGACATCTCAAATCTCGTCTACAAGGCCTACGTTCCCGTCTACCATGTAAGTTGCCCCTGCGCCGTTCGTCTCTCCTCGTCAACAGAGCCGTGTACCATCTACTACCATTATAATTCAACAAGTCTGTTGTGTTTCCATGCCGTATAGGCAGGCATCCCGTCATCCCTGTGCTTCTGTCCGTCATCCCTAACCTCCCGCTCCTCTAAAACACCCACACCCACAACCCAACCCCCCTCACCCCTTATTCCCCTCCCCACTCGCCAGGACGAGGAGACAGAGCGGTCAGAGCGGTGGGACTCGTTTCTCCGCGTGCACGACCTGCCCTTCCAAGCCTTCCTCGTGCTTGTGCCCGTCATCCCCTCCCATCCCGCTCTTTCCCAACACCCTATACCCACCCTCAATATTCCCCCTATCCCCCCCCCCTCCCCGCCGTTCCAGGACGAGGAGACAGAGCGGTCGGAGCGGAGCGGTGGGACCCGTTTCTTTGCGCGCGAGACCTGCCTTTCCAGGCTTGTGCTTTTGCCCCTCATTCTCTCCCCTCCCACTTCCCCCGCTCCTCCCTTCCCTGCCGTTCCAGGACGAGGAGACAGAGCGGTCGGAGCGGTGGGACTCGTTCCTGGGCGCGCGCGACCTGCCCTTCCTTCCGCCCTCCCCAGCGCCGACCCCCGCGCCTGCTGCAGAAGCGCCCTCTGGCGAAGGCGCAGAAGAAGGGGGAGGGGAGGGGAGGTTCCGCGCAGGGTTTAGGGAGGAGCTGTGGGCTGTTGAGCGCGTTCTGAGGGGCGCTGCTGATGCAGGCGCGGGGAACACAGGGAGTTCGGGGGATGGGGGAAGGAGTGAAAGGGATTTTGGAGGAGAGAGAGGAAGAGAGCAAGTAGGAGAGGGCAGCGGGGAGGGCAGCAGAGCGGGCAGTGGAGAGACGGGGGGAGAGGAGCGAGGAGGAGGAGGGGGAGAGGGAGGAGGAGGGGGAGGAGGCGAGGGAGGAGAAAGTGGAGGAGGCAAGGGAGTGGGTGGGAGTGTGGTGACGGAGGAGGCCTGGAGAGCGGAGCTGACGTCCCTGGTGATGGGGGGCATACCCATGAACATGCGCGGCGAGGTGTGGCAGATCTTCGTGGGGAGTGCAGCGAGGAGGCAGGAGGGCGTGTATGAGGCGCTGCTGAGGGATGCGGGCAGGGAGGAGGAGCACGGGCCCAACAGCAGCCTGGCGGAGATCACAGCGCGGATCCATGAGAGGGACGCTGAAGTGGCTTGCACCGTGCAGATTGAAAAGGTGTGTGGGCCGCTGCCTCCTTCCTTGGTTGCCTCTCCTCTCCCCGTCACATGTGTGTGTGTGTGTGTGTGTGTGTGTGTGCGTGTGCCTCCAATTCAAGTGTGCCCCCCCGTGCTGCCTCTACTCCTCTGCAATGCGCCCAGACTCCCATTACCCAACCCTCACCCCCTAAGGATCTGCCTTGCCTCGCACCTTCTGGGGCCACCTTTCTCCAGTCCAGACGCCAATGGGCGAATCGCCCTGCAGCGGCTTCTCATAATTCCCGTCCGGCTTCTCCTCCTTCCATCCTCCCTCACTCGCTCCGCCCTCCTCCTGCCTCTCCCCTCACCCCCTCAGGACCTGCCGCGCACCTTCCCGGGGCACCCCGCTCTGGACGCCAAGGGACGGGACGCACTGAGGCGGCTGCCAATAACCCCTTTCCCCTCCATTCCACTTCCTGATTCCCCGCCGTCCCCCTGCCCCTTTCCCTACTCTAGGACCTGCCTCGCACCTTCCCAGGCCACCCTGCGCTGGACGCCAAGGGGCGGGACGCGCTGAGGCGGCTGCTCATAGCTCCCTTCCTTGTTCTCCTCCTCCATTGTCCCCTCTTGCCTTTTCCCCCTTATTTTAGGACCTGCCTCGCACCTTCCCCGGGCACCCCGCCCTGGACGCCAAGGGGAGGGACGCGCTGAGGCGGCTGCTGGTGGCGTACTCACGGCGCAACCGCGCGCTGGGGTACTGCCAGGGCATGAACTTCCTCGCTGGGCTGCTACTGCTGCTCATGCCTGAGGAAAACGCCTTCTGGTGAGGCTGGGGGGGGAGGGGGGGGGGGTAGAGGCCTGTGGGGGATTTATGGCAGGTGATGCGGTATTCGAGGAGAGAATTGAGGTGTGTGAGGAGGTGTGGAGGGGAAACCGCGCTCTGGGGTACTGCCAGGGCATGAACTTCCTCGTCCTGCTGCTGCTGCTGCTCATGCCCGAGGAGAATGCCTTGTGGTGGGTGGCAGGGGGTAGAGGGCAGGGAGGGATGCGTGGCAGTAGCACGTTGCGTGCGAGAGAACCAAGGTGTGTGAGGAGGTGTGGAGGGGCAACCGCGCTCTGAGGTATTGCCAGGGCATGAACTTCCTGGCTGGACTGCTGCTGCTTCTCATGCCCGAGGAGAATGCCTTCTCGTGAGGCTGGGTGAGGGGGGTAGAGGGCATTGAGGGATGCATGTGCTGCTGGTGGCGTACTCACGTCGCAACCGCGCTCTGGGGTATTGCCAGGGCATGAACTTCCTCGTCGGGCTGCTGCTGCTGCTCATGCCCGAGGAAAACGCCTTCTGGTGAGGCTGGGTGGGGGGGTTGGAGGGCAGGGAGGGATGCATGGCAGGTAGTGTGCAAGGAGGGGATTGTGGTGTGTGGAGAGGTGTGGAAAGACAACCGCACTTTAGGCTACTGCCAAGGCATGATTTTCCTCGCTGGGCTGCTGCTGCTCATGCCCGAAGAAATCGATTTCTGGTGGGTGGAAGAGTGGGGAGGTTGAGGGCAGCGAGCGATACGTGCTAGGAAGTGTGCAAGGAGGGTTTAGAAGTGAGCAAGGAGGGTGTAGAAGTGAGCAAGGAGGGTGTAGAAGTGAGCAAGGAGGGCGTAGAAGTGAGCAAGGAGGGCGTAGAAGTGGCGAATAAGGAGCGGATGGAGTTATCTCGCATTTCTGTGCTTGGTTTTCTTTTAAGCCTTTCTTTTCGTGGATTTTTATTTTTCTTTCTTTCCTTCTTTTTTCCCATGCTTCATCCTCGTTTTCTGTGTGTCAGGACACTGACAGCAATAGTGGACGAGCTGTTCAAAGGGTACTACTCTGACGAGATGGTTGAAGCTCAGGTGGGATGGGGTGGGGGACTGGTGGGCGGGAGTGGTGTGGTGGGTAGGCATGGGTGAGTGAGCAGGCAGGCACAGGCGTGTGAGCAGGCATGGGCATCAAGTCGCGGGGTGAGCAATGATGGATGAGGTGGCTTTTGAGTCGACTCAAAAGTCACCTCGTTAGCAGGCATGGCCGTCAACTCGCGGGGTGAGCAATAATGTATGAGGATCAGTGGCTTAGCGTTGGTGTGTGCGGTTGATCAAGGGCATCATCTGACGCCGTTGCTGTTGTTGACAGGCTTTTTTCCTGCCATTGACTTCTCCCTGCATTGGACTGCCATTGACTTCTCCCTGCATTGGACTGCCATTGACTTCTCCCTGCATTGGACTGCCATTGACTTCTCCCTGCATTGGACTGCCATTTACTTCTCCCTGCATTGGACTGCCATTGACTTCTCCCTGCATTGGACTGCCATTTACTTCTCCCTGCATTGGACTGCCATTTACTTCTCACCAGGTGGACCAGCTTGTGTTTGAGGACCTTGTGCGCCAGAACTTCCCCAGACTGGGTGAGTGATGATGCCTGACACTCGCCCATTCCACACTCGCCCATTCCACACTCGCCCATTCCACACTCGCCCATTCCATACTCTCCCATTCCATACTCTCCCATTCCATTCCCTCTCTTACTCAGCTCTCTTATTCCACGGAACCCCTCACGTGCACAGCGGAGCACATGGACTCAATGGGAGTGCAGATCTCATGGATCTCAGGGATCATTCCCTGTTTCTATTGAGGCTGTTATGTTCTCACGGGACGGGATGGTTCCTCTCATTCCTCACACTCTCATTCCTCACACTCTCATTCCTCACACACACCCTCCCGCCCCACCCCATGCAGCGGAGCACATGGACGCAATGGGGGTGCAGATCTCATGGATCACGGGGCCATGGTTCCTCTCTGTCTTTGTCAACGTGCTGCCCTGGGAGAGCGGTGAGAACGTGGGCTGGCATGGTGAGAGCGTTGCTTTGTCATCTTGCAAGGACTAGCAGGGAGAGCGGTTAGAGCAAGGCCCTGTTCGGTCCTTTCTACCTCTCTGCTCTCTTATCTCTCTGCACCTCTCTTTGTCTCGCTCCAAGCGTATCTGGGATTCTGGGCTTTCCCTCCTCGCATGTGAAGTCTTGTGTTTTTTTGTGGCATCTTGCTCTCGCTTCCTCTCTCTCGGTTCAACACAACTTTTCCCCCTCCTTCAACTGCAGTGCTGCGAGTGTGGGACGTCATCCTCTACGAGCGCAATCGCAGCATGCTCTTCCGCACATGCCTTGCCCTCCTCGACATGCATTGTACGTGCTCCGCTTCCGTCTTCTCCGCTCCCCTCTTCTCCGCTCCCCTCTTCTCCGCTCCCCTCTTCTCCGCTTCCCTCTTCTCCGCTCCCCTCTTCTCCGCTCCCCTCTTCTCCGCTCCCCTCTTCTCCGCTTCCCTCTGCTCTGCTCTGCTCTGCTCTGCTCTGCTGTAATTGGCCATGTATGCTTTGTGCTGTGCTGGCATAGCGTGTTGCCACTTCAAGCCATGGCAGCGTCCATGCGTTACCCCTCTGTTAATTAATGTCCAGGCATCCTACTCAAACCCTTCCACCCGAACCCTCAACCCTGCCCAGTTCCTTCCTCTACCACCAGCCATGCTGCTGCTGTCAATGCAGGAGGACGGGAGACATAATGTTGACCCTGCAGTCCATGGCAGCACACTAATGTACTGCGAGGCCAGGCCTCTAGACCTTGACCCTGCCTTTTCCCCTTTCCCCCAACCCACCAGCCACGCTTCTGCTGTCGATGCAGGAGACGGGGGACATGATGTCGGCGCTACAGTCCATGGCAGCATCAACCTTCGACAGCTCGCAGCTTGTGCTCGGCGCATGTGTGGGCTACATGGACGTCAATGAAGCCATGCTTGAGGTACGTGCGTGCTGATGCTGCTGCTGTTGATGGTGCATGCTGCATCTTGCTGTTGGTACTAGTGCCCCTGCGCGTGCATGCAGCACCTTTGATAGCATGCAGCTCGTGCTCTCTGCATGCGTGGGCTACATGGACGTCAATGAAGCCATGCTTGAGGTACGTGGGTGCTGACGCTGCTGCTGTTGATGGTGCATGCTGCATCTTGCTGTTGGTACTAGTGCTCCTGCGCGTGCATGCAGCACCTTTGATAGCATGCAGCTCGTGCTCTCTGCATGCGTGTGGGCTACATGGACGTCAACGAGAGCATGCTCGAGGTGAGACGTGTGTTCTGCTGCTGTTGATGGTGTTTGCTGCTTCTTGGTGGTGGGACTCGTGCTGCTGCTCATGCATGCAGCACCTTTGATAGCATGCAGCTCGTGCTCTCTGCATGCGTGGGCTACATGGACGTCAACAAAGCCATGCTCGAGGTGAGACATGCTGCTACTGTTGCTCGTAGTGCTGCTTGTGCTGCTGGTACTCGTGCATGCAGCACCTTCGACAGCATGTGCTGCTGCTCTCTGCATGTGTGGGCTACATGGACGTCAACGAGAGCATGCTGGAGGTGAGACGTGCTGCTGGTGCTAGTGCTGGTATTCGTGCACGTGCTGCTGCTCTCTGCGTGTGTGGGCTACGTGGACGTCAATGAGAGCATGCTGGAGGTACGTTGCTCGTTGTGCTGCTGGCACTCATGCATGCACCACCTTCGACAGGAGGTGCTCAAGCGCTGCCACAGCACCCGCACTGCCAGTAAACATGTCTCGTTCTTCCTTTCCCCCAGGATCTGCGCACGAAGCACCGCCCCACCATAATGCACTGCGTGGACGAGTGGCGGGAGGTGCTCAAGCGCTGCCTGGGAGTGAAATAGTCGTCCGTCCCCTCCCATCCCATCTTCCATCCCCCCCCTTCCCACTCAGGATCTGCGTACGAAGCACCGCCCCACCATAATGCACCGCGTGGACGAGCGGCGGGAGGTGCTCAAGCGCTGCCGCAGCACCCGCACCGCCAAGATCCACGCCGAGGCCCTGGCCGTTCTGCAGAGGCTCGCACCGCACAGCACCGCGCTCGGCTCCCCTCTCGGCCCGTCCTCCTCCCACGCCTCCCCGCTGTCTGTCCCTTCGTCGTTTGATGACTCAGTGCTGCCCTCCCCCTCCCCAGCTGCTAGAATGGGTAGACTACGAGCTTTTGCGGATGAAGGGGAGAGGAGGCGGGAGGGGAGAGAGAAGAAGGGGAGGAAGGATGGAAGAGCAGGCGGCAAGGGGGATGGGAAAAGGGCAGGAGGAGGCACATGGGGGAGGGTAAGCAGTGCTGGTACTGAGAGTGCTACTAACGAGAACGGAGATGGAGACACTAGTTGGGTGGATTTGGGGGCAGGAGATGCATCCCCATCCTCCTCTGCCTTCTCCTCCCCGTCCTTCACTCCTCCAGACTCCCCCCTTGCAAGCTTCAAGCTGCCCAGTCACCGCCCCCCACCTGTCTCCTTCCCCCCTCACACGCTCCTGCATCCCCTCCCTCCTCCCCTCCCTCTCACTCGATCCTCCTCCCTCTCGCGCCTCTCCCCGCCTGCTGCTCCCTCCTTCCTCATCTGCCCCGTGCAACCGCTGCAGTTCCCCTCACACGCCTCTGCCCACCCTAATGAATCAACCGCTGCTAGTGCCGAAGCTGGTGCCGAACCTGGCGCCGAACTGACAGCATCCGGTTCGGCAGAGGCTTGGACTCAGCTGGCCCTGCCAGCCTCGGTGGTCGAGGCTCTGGACTCGATGCTGGGAGGAGGAGAAACGGAGGTGGGGAGAGAGAGGGGGAGGGAGAGGGGTAGGGAGAGTGAAGGGGCAGCAGCAGTAGGTAAGAGGGACACTGAAATGGACCCATGGGGTAGCGCCAGGTGGCAGGAGCTCGTTGGCCCGCCTCGCCCACATGGTCATACCCCTGCATTGGTCTCAGCATCAGCGTCGAAAGCTGCAGTGAGGAGAGCAGGAGGAGGAGGAGGAGGAGGAGGAGGAGAGAGAGGGGTGGGAGAGTCTGTGGGAGGTGGGACGGCAGCAGCTGTAGCAGCAGCACTGGCGTCCGTATCGGAAGAAAGAGAGGCGGCTGCGGTTGTTGCTTCTTCAGATGCAGCAGCAGCAGCAGATGGAACGGGGTCTTCTGCTCCTGCCACTGCCACTGCCACTACCTCTGCTGCTGCCACTGTAACAGCTTCCAGCAGTTACCAACAGAGGGTGAAACGGTCCCCAGAGCTGCTGCTGCGAAGCGGATCCTTTGCCCCTGGCGGCAGCAGCAGCAGCCGCGGCAGCAGTTTCAACCAGATTCCGTCTCTTGCACTCGATGCTAGAGTTGAGGGTTTGGATACTGCCACCACCGCCACTGCTTCTAGTGCCACTGCTGCCGCTGCCGCTGCTGCTGTCGCTTCTGTCAGCGCAAGCAGCACTGCCACCACAAGCAGCAAGAGCAAGAGCAGGAGTAAGAGCAAGAGCAAGGGAACGTCACAGATAGAGTCAGATCTCTCCCCCACCTTTTCCCCCCCGTCCTCCCCCTCCTCCCCCCCTTCATCCGACTTCTCCCCTCCCTCCCCCGGCTCTCCCTCAGTTGCTTTGGAGGGGGATGGGTTGTTTCGGGACGGTGAGGGTGCGGGGAAGGAGAAGGGGAGGAGGGGCGAGAGGAGTGGTGGGAAGGAGAAGGGAGAGAAGGGAGAGAAGGGAGAGAAGGAGCGGGAGGGCAAGAGGGAGAAGGTGCGGGAGACGAGGCGAGAGGGGGAGGGGAGCAGGAAGGAAAAGGGGAGAGGGAAGGAGGAAATGGGTGGTGATTTGACGGGAGGTAGCGGTGCTGGTGGATTGGCGTCAGACTCGTTACAGTCACATTTCCGACAGTCTCATTCACTTTCTGGACATCAGCCCAGCGTTGGGAGGGGTGCGGATAGCAGCGGTAAAGGGGCGAGCAGTAAGGGGGATGGCCGGGAGTGGAGAGGGGCAGGAGGGAGAGGCAGGGGCATTCGGCCACACAGCTTAAACGAAAGACGAAGCCCTGGGTTGGGCATGGGCGGGGGCATGGGAGTGGGTGTGGGTGTGGGTGGTGGCGGGGAGGGGTATCCCCCTCCGCACCACCATACAGACAGGGCAGGTCATGCTGCTCTGATTCGGGAGTCCAGAAGTCATGCTGCTGCCACATACAGTGGCGCTGGCTCTGGTGGCAGTATTGGTGGTGTTGGTGCTGGTGGTGGTGGTGGTGGTGGTGGTGGTGGTGATGGAAGGATGCATGGGAGGATAGGCAGGACGAGCAGTGCGGATGTGTGGAGAGTGGCAGAGAGGGGTGCTGGTGGTGGTGGGAGAGGAGGATGGGGTGGAGAGGAGCAGGAGGAACGGAGGGATGGGGAGGGGTTGGGAGGAGTGGAGGGGGGGAAGGGCGGTGCGGAGAGCAGAGGAGGGCGGCATGTGCGGGTTGAAGTGGCGACCGAGTTGCAAGCACAGGTGAGTTGCAAGCACAGGTGAGTTGCAAGCACAGGTGAGATGCGAGCTTTTGAGGCGCCTCAAAAGTGGATGGGGCAATAGGAGGTGCACAGAGCAGACGAGGGCGGCATGTGCGGGTTGAAGTGGCGACCCAGTTGCAAGCACAGGTGGGATGCGAGCACAGTAGTTTTTGAGAACTCTCACAAGTGATTCACTTTTGATTTGAAAGCAGAAATCTAAGCACGGGCGTGTGACGAGTCGTGCTTTATTGTGCCTCAAGGCTCGTGACTTTTGAGCCGCCTCAAAAGTTTTGTTGTGCCTCAAGGCGCGTGCTGTTGAAGTGGTGAGAGAACGCAGGTGAGACGGCTGTTTGGGACATAGTATCTCAGGTGCTCCTTGCTCAGACCGAGGGTGGAGCCATGGCTCGTTCCCTTTGCTACATCACTCTTCTACTCGTCCCTGCTCGCCCCCCTCCCACCACTCAGGTGGCGTGGCTTAAGGAGCAACTCGTGTTCGCACTGGAGGCGAGGGATGAAGCCATTCTCAGGTGCTACTCAGTTGCACTACAACACGCTTCAAATCGTCCCCGCTCATGCCATCCCTCCACCTCCCTCTCCCCCTCCCACCACTCAGGTGGCGTGGTTGAAGGAGCAGCTGGTGTTCACACTGGTGGCGAGGGATGAAGCCATTCTCAGGTGCTACTCAGTTGCACTACAACACGCTTCAAATCGTCCCCGCTCATGCCATCCCTCCACCTCCCTCTCCCCCCTCCCACCTCTCAGGTGGCATGGTTGAAGGAGCAACTCGTGTTCGCACTGGAGGCAAGGGATGAAGCCATTCTCAGGTGAGGCCATTCAGAGATGGTGTGGTGCGGGGTGGAGAAGAGTAGAGAAGGGTGGAGTAGGGTGGTGGAGTACTATCGAGTCCAGGGGAATGAGGAGGGTGATGCGTTTGTTGCGTTGCAGTCAGTCTTTGCCCCTCCTGCGATGTCCTGTTGCTTCATGTTGCACTTGGTTTACAAGGCCTCTGTGGGTCCTGCTTGCATTGCAAATTTGTCTTGAGTAGAGTTTCCCGCTTAGATGCTTTCAGCAGTTCTCTCTGCCATGCGCATCCCCAATGCCCCCCATGCGCATCTCCCATGCCATGCGCATCTCCCATGCCCCCCATGCGCATCTCCCATGCCCCCCATGCGCATCTCCCATGCCATGCGCATCTCCCATGCCCCCCATGCGTATCTCCCATGCCCCCCATGCGCATCTCCCATGCCCCCCATGCGCATCTCCCATGCCCCCCATGCACATTTCTCTTCCCCCAAGTGCGCGTGTCTCATCGGGACATTTGATCATCCCATACACTGTTCAGAACAATTTATATCAATTTTTTTAACACACCCCATCCTGCCATGCCCACACCACACCCCATCCCATCCCACCATGTGCACAACCCATCACACCATCACCCCATGCATGAATGCATGCATGCAGGGCCGAAGCTTTGCAAGCAGCCATGGTGGAAATGGGGCAGTCCACCACAAACCAGGCCCTCGCTGCAAAGGTAACTCCCCCTCATAAGCTGGAGAATGCATTGATTGTCAACTCGAAGCAGATTGAAGTGCACAGAAAAAAAAAAAGGGAGGGACAATGATGCGGAGATGGAGAGGGAGGTGGGATAGGTGGAGGCTTCATCTGTTTCACCCCTATTCCCCTTCCCCCCGTACCACCTCCCCCTGTTCTCCTTCCCCACCTGTACCCCTTTTTAGACGTCTCAAAAGTCGTCTACTTACACGCCGTTTTGAGACGTCTCAAAAGTCGTCTACTTACACGCGGTTTTGAGACGTCTCAAAAGTCGTCTACTTACACGCGGTTTTGAGACGTCTCAAAAGTCGTCTACTTACACGCGGTTTTGAGACGTCTCAATAGTCGTCTACTTACACGCGGTTTTGAGACGTCTCAAAAGTCGTCTACTTACTCGCGGTTTTGAGACGTCTCAAAAGTTCCCCTTCCCCCCGTACCACCTCCCCCTGTTCTCCCTCCCCGCCTGTACCCCTTTCCCCCTCCCCTTTCAGATTGACGAGCTGGAAAATGCACTGATTGTTGCCCGTAAACAAATCGAAGCGCACAGGCGGGAGATAGCGTAGCAGCAGCGCGCGATGGAGGCCCAGCAGGAGGCGTACACTCGCTTGTTGTTGGAGCAGCAGGAGGAAGCAGCATGTGCGCTGGTGGAGGCGGTGAGGGGCAAGGACGCGGAGATGGAGGGGGCGCTGCTGGGCGCACTGAGGGGGCGCTGAGGGGGCGCTGATATATGTGTTGCCTCTCTTCCCCTTCCCCTTCCCCTCAGATTGACGAGTTGGAGAATGCACTGATTGTGGCGCGGAGGCAAATCGACACGCACAGGAAGGAACTTGCTCATCAACAAAGGGCCATGGAGGTCCAACAGGAAGCTTCCACGCGCTTGCTGTTGGAGCAGCAGGAGGAAGCAGCACGTGCGCTGGTGGAGGCGGTGAGGGTCAAGGACGCGGAGATGGAGAGGGAGGTGGGGGCGCTGCTGGGCGCACTGAGGGGCAAGGAGGAGCGCATGAGGGGCGAGATTGAGGCGCTACAGGACAAGGTGGAGGAGCGGGACGCCGAGATTGGGCGGCTCTCACGGGTGAGTGGGTGGGGGAGGGGGTGCATGGGGTGCATGGGGTGCATGGGGTGCATGGGGTGCATAAGGTGCGTGGGGTGCATGGGGTGGCTATGAGCAGGGAGGTTGAGATGGTATTGCAGGTAAGGAGGAGCGCATGAGGGGTAAGGAGGAGCGTATGAGGGGTAAGGAGGAGCGCATGAGGGGGGAGACAGAGCTGAGGCGCTACAGGACAAGGTGGAGGAGAGGGACGCCGAGATTGGCCGGCTCTCACGGGTGAGTGGGCGGGCAGGTGGTCGTAGGGCTATGAGCAAGGAGGTTGAGATGGTATTGCAGGCAAGGAGGAGCGCATGTGGGGGGGGATTGATTCGCTGTAGGACCGGGTGGAGGAGAGAGATGCCGAGATTGGCCGGCTCTCATGGGTGAGTGGGTAGTTGGGCGGTTTGCTGGGGTGAGTGGTTAGTCAGGTGTGTAGGGTGGTGGCGAGTCGATGGTGATTCTTAGGTTTCACCTCTCCTCCTCCCCCCTCCCTCGCCCCTCCTCATCCACGTGGAGCAACGGGCGGCCCTTCCTAGCAACGGAATGGACATGGAGGGCAGTAGCGTATCGAGTGATTCCTAGCAACGGGAAGGACATGGAGGGCCGCCAGTTCCTAGCGTATCGAGTGATTCCTAGCCCTTTGGTTTTGAGGCGCCTCAAAACTAGCCCTTCCCTCCCACTCCTTCCAACCTCGGCCCGCCTCTCGGGCTCTTCACTTCTCTGGCTCTTCACTTCTCTGGCTCTTCTTCACTTCTCTGGCTCTTCACTTCTCTGGCTCTTTACTTCTCTGGCTCTTGACTTCTCTGGCTCTTTACTTCTCTGGCTCTTTACTTCTCTGGCTCTTTACTTCTCTGGCTCTTTACTTCTCTGGCTCTTTACTTCTCTGGCTCTTTACTTCTCTGGCTCTTTACTTCTCTGGCTCTTTACTTCTCTGGCTCTTTACTTCTCTGGCTCTTTACTTCTCTGGCTCTTTACTTCTCTGGCTCGCACACCTCTGGGACAGAGGATGCAACGGCATGGGCACCCAAGGACATGGAGGACAGAGTAAGCACATCAAGCCCCTCGAACTGACTTTTGAGTCGACTCAACTTTTGAGGCGCCTTTTGAGTCAACTCAAAATTCAGCCCAAGGACATGGAGGACAGAGTCCTTGGGCACATCAAGCCCCTCGAACAGTCCTTGAGTCGCTTTTGAAAACTCTCAAAAGTGACTTCTATGCAGCCAGAAGGGAGGACATCATAACAGCCAACGCAAATCAAGCCCGCCATGATCCGACGGTCCCTGAATTAGAGAGCCTGGGTACAGAGAGGTTCGCTTCCAACCCCTCTCTCTCACTCTGTTCCATCCCAACCCCCCCTCCCTCCGCATCAATACATGGAGCAGCGGCTGGAGCGGGCAGCCAGGGACATTATATCGGCCTCATAGCTTCAAGCCCATCACTCACTGTCCTTCCATTCTCTCACTCCAACTGTTCTGTTCTACCCACGTGGAGCAGAGGATGGAGCGGGCGACTTTTGAGTCGACTCAGAAGTCAGCCCATCACTCACTGTCCTTCCATTCTCTCACTCCAACTGTTCTGTTCTACCCACGTGGAGCAGAGGATGGAGCGGGCGACTTTTGAGTCGACTAGGAAGTCAGCCCATCGCTCACTGTCCTTCCATTCCCTCACTCCAACTGTTCTGTTCTACCCACGTGGAGCAGAGGATGGAGCAGGCGGCCAAGGACCTTATATCGGCCAACGCACACAAAGCCCGTCACTCTCACTCTGTTCTAGCCCCCCCCCCCTCTACACCTCCCACTCTCCCTTCCATGCGTATGCACCATAGGCTGGCATGGGCAGCCAAGGGCATTCTAGCGGCTGGAGGACATTATAGCTTCACCATCCCAGCAGCTAAGGCGGATCACCATCACATCACACCACCCCGCCCACTCCATTCACCCTTCAACTGCTCACTGGCACTTAGCATTGAGGCTGGAGCAGGCAGCCAGGGACATGGAGGACATTATAGCAGTCAGCACACAGCAAGTCTCTCTGTTTCATTCACTCAGTCCCGGATCTCCCCCTCTCCCCCCCACGCTCTCCTCCTTCATCATGTGTATGGAGCATCAATCGGAGCGATCAGCCAAGGACAATATAGTGGCCGGTTATCGTCAAGCCTATCACTCACCGTCCCTCCATTCTCTCTCTACCTCCCTTCCCCTGTGCTTCTCAAGCAGCGGCTGGAGCGAGCAGCCAAGGACATGGAGGACATTATTGCTGCCAACGCACAGCAGGTGGAGACGCAGAAGAACGTCATTGAGATGCTCGCTGTGCGTTGTGGGAGTGTGGACTGGTGAAGTAGAATGTAGTGTGGTGCGGTGCAGTGCTGTGCTCTTCAGTTCAGTGTGGCCCCGTCTGGTGTGGTGATAATTTTTTCGGGCTCTAGAATCCTCATGTTGGGTACACTACGGTGCTGTGTGCAAGCAATGCAGTGGCTTTTGAGTCGACTCAAAAGTCAACATGTTGGGTACACTACGGTGCTGTGTGCAAGCAATGCACTGGCGGGGGAGAGGTTGGGCCGTGAGGCAGAGGTCAGAAGCCATGGATCAGGGGAATCACTTTTGAGAAATGTCAAAAGGTTGGGCCGCGAGGCAGAGGTCAGAAGCCATGGATCAGGGGAATCACTTTTGAGAATTGTCAAAAGGTTGGGCTGCGAGGCAGAGGTCAGAAGCCATGGATCAGGGGAATCACTTTTGAGAATTCTCAAAAGGTTGGGCTGCGAGGCAGAGGTCAGAAGCCATGGATCAGGGGAATCACTTTTGAGAATTGTCAAAAGGTTGGGCTGCGAGGCAGAGGTCAGAAGCCATGGATCAGGGGAATCACTTTTGAGAATTGTCAAAAGGTTCGGCCGCGAGGCAGAGGTCAGAAGCCATGGATCAGGGGAATCACTTTTGAGAATTGTCAAAAGGTTGGGCTGCGAGGCAGAGGTCAGAAGCCATGGATCAGGGGAATCACTTTTGAGAATTCTCAAAAGGTTGGGCCGCGAGGCAGAGGTCAGAAGCCATGGATCAGGGGAATCACTTTTGAGAATTCTCAAAAGGTTGGGCCGCGAGGCAGAGTTCAGAAGCCATGGATCAGGGGAATCACTTTTGAGAATTCTCAAAAGGTTGGGCCGCGAGGCAGAGGTCAGAAGCCATGGATCAGGGGAATCACTTTTTAGAATTCTCAAAAGGTTGGGCCGCGAGGCAGAGGTCAGAAGCCATGGATTAGGGGGGAATCACTTTTGAGAATTCTCAAAAGGTTGGGCCGCGAGGCAGAGTTCAGAAGCCATGGATCAGGGGAATCACTTTTGAGAATTCTCAAAAGGTTGGGCCGCGAGGCAGAGGTCAGAAGCCATAGATCAGTAGAATCACTTTTGAGAATTCTCAAAAGGTTGGGCCGCGAGGCAGAGGTCAGAAGCCATGGATCAGGGGAATCACTTTTGAGAAGTCTCAAAAGGTTGGGCCGCGAGGCAGAGGTCAGAAGCCATGGATCAGGGGAATCACTTTTGAGAATTGTCAAAAGGTTGGGCTGCGAGGCAGAGGTCAGAAGCCATGGATCAGAGGAATCACTTTTGAGAATTGTCAAAAGGTTGGGCTGCGAGGCAGAGGTCAGAAGCCATGGATCAGGGGAATCGCTTTTGAGAATTCTCAAAAGGTTGGGCCGCGAGGCAGAGGTCAGAAGCCATGGATCAGGGGAATCACTTTTGAGAATTGTCAAAAGGTTGGGCTGAGAGGCAGAGGTCAGAAGCCATGGATCAGGGGAATCACTTTTGAGAATTCTCAAAAGGTTGGGCCGCGAGGCAGAGGTCAGAAGCCATGGATCAGGGGAATCACTTTTGAGAATTCTCAAAAGGTTGGGCCGCGAGGTAGAGGTCAGAAGCCATGGATCAGGGGAATCACTTTTGAGAATTCTCAAAAGGTTGGGCCGCGAGGCAGAGTTCAGAAGCCATGGATCAGGGGAATCACTTTTGAGAATTCTCAAAAGGTTGGGCCGCGAAACAGAGGTCAGAAGCCATGGATCAGTGGAATCACTTTTGAGAATTCTCAAAAGGTTGGGCCGCGAGGCAGAGGTCAGAAGCCATGGATCAGGGGAATCACTTTTGAAAATTTTCAAAAGGTTGGGCCGCGAGGCAGAGGTCAGAAGCCATGGATCAAGGGAATCACTTTTGAGAATTGTCAAAAGGTTGGGCTGCGAGGCAGAGGTCAGAAGCCATGGATCAGGGGAATCACTTTTGAGAATCGTCAAAAGGTTGGGCTGCGAGGCAGAGGTCAGAAGCCATGGATCAGGGGAATCACTTTTGAGAATTCTCAAAAGGTTGGGCCGCGAGGCAGAGGTCAGAAGCCATGGATTAGGGGGGAATCACTTTTGAGAATTCTCAAAAGGTTGGGCCGCGAGGCAGAGTTCAGAAGCCATGGATCAGGGGAATCACTTTTGAGAATTCTCAAAAGGTTGGGCCGCGAGGCAGAGGTCAGAAGCCATGGATCAGGGGAATCACTTTTGAGAATTGTCAAAAGGTTGGGCCGCGAGGCAGAGGTCAGAAGCCATGGATCAGGGGAATCACTTTTGAGAATTCTCAAAAGGTTGGGCCGCGAGGCAGAGGTCAGAAGCCATGGATCAGGGGAATCACTTTTGAGAATTGTCAAAAGGTTGGGCCGCGAGGCAGAGGTCAGAAGCCATGGATCAGGGGAATCACTTTTGAGAATTCTCAAAAGGTTGGGCCGCGAGGCAGAGTTCAGAAGCCATGGATCAGGGGAATCACTTTTGAGAATTCTCAAAAAGTTGGGCCGCGAGGCAAAGGTCAGAAGCCATGGATCAGGGGAATCACTTTTGAGAATTCTCAAAAGGTTGGGCCGCGAGGCAGAGGTCAGAAGCCATGGATTAGGGGGGAATCACTTTTGAGAATTCTCAAAAGGTTGGGCCGCGAGGCAGAGTTCAGAAGCCATGGATCAGGGGAATCACTTTTGAGAATTCTCAAAAGGTTGGGCCGCGAGGCAGAGGTCAGAAGCCATGGATCAGGGGAATCACTTTTGAGAATTCTCAAAAGGTTGGGCCGCGAGGCAGAGGTCAGAAGCCATGGATCAGGGGAATCACTTTTGAGAATTGTCAAAAGGTTGGGCTGCGAGGCAGAGGTCAGAAGCCATGGATCAGGGGAATCACTTTTGAGAATTGTCAAAAGGTTGGGCTGCGAGGCAGAGGTCAGAAGCCATGGATCAGGGGAATCACTTTTGAGAATTCTCAAAAGGTTGGGCCGCGAGGCAGAGGTCAGAAGCCATGGATCAGGGGAATCGCTTTTGAGAATTGTCAAAAGGTTGGGCTGCGAGGCAGAGGTCAGAAGCCATGGATCAGGGGAATCACTTTTGAGAATCGTCAAAAGGTTGGGCTGCGAGGCAGAGGTCAGAAGCCATGGATCAGGGGAATCACTTTTGAGAATTCTCAAAAGGTTGGGCTGCGAGGCAGAGGTCAGAAGCCATGGATCAGGGGAATCACTTTTGAGAATTGTCAAAAGGTTGGGCCGCGAGGCAGAGGTCAGAAGCCATGGATCAGGGGAATCACTTTTGAGAATTCTCAAAAGGTTGGGCCGCGAAGCAGAGGTCAGAAGCCATGGATCAGGGGAATCACTTTTGAGAATTCTCAAAAGGTTGGGCCGCGAGGCAGAGGTCAGAAGCCATGGATCAGGGGAATCACTTTTGAGAATTCTCAAAAGGTTGGGCCGCGAGGCAGAGGTCAGAAGCCATGGATCAGGGGAATCACTTTTGAGAATTCTCAAAAGGTTGGGCCGCGAGGCAGAGGTCAGAAGCCATGGATCAGGGGAATCACTTTTGAGAATTCTCAAAAGGTTGGGCCGCGAGGCAGAGGTCAGAAGCCATGGATCAGGGGAATCACTTTTGAGAATTCTCAAAAGGTTGGGCCGCGAGGCAGAGGTCAGAAGCCATGGATCAGGGGAATCACTTTTGAGAATTCTCAAAAGGTTGGGCCGCGAGGCAGAGGTCAGAAGCCATGGATCAGGGGAATTACTTCTGAGAATTCTCAAAAGGTTGGGCCGCGAGGCAGAGGTCAGAAGCCATGGATCAGGGGGGTTAACAGCAGTGTTCGGCGCCTCATACGCCAGCTCATGTTTTGTGGATTTGTTTAGGCGCCTCATCAGTCTTCTCCTTTCTCCATCTTGTTAATGGTGTGCAGGAGAGTAGCCGGGATGCACGGCAGAAGCTGGCAGCCATGGAGGAGAGGGCACTCGCAGCAGAGAGGTCAGTCGGTAGTTAGTCAGGGAGGACATGCAGATGTGAGTTTTAGCCCCAAATAAATGACATGAGATGACTTTTGAGGCGCGTAAAAGAAATCGTTGGGCGTGTGGAGCTGAGTTAGATCTCCAAATGGGTAGGAAGATAACATCCTTGAGGCGCCTCGATAGTTGTTTCGCTCAGGCACATCCCTAATCCGACTTTTGAATCACCTTGTTGCATGTGTGAAGCAGAGGCACAGTTGCAGATAGGAATTGGGTGCGATCACTACTTGGAGATCCCCCTCAGCTCTGCACTGCAGCACTCTTCCTGCCCTCTCCAACCTGCCTGCTCTCCTTCTGCCCTCTCCAACCTGCCTGCTCTCCTTCTGCCCTCTCCAACCTGCCTGCTCTCCTTCTGCCCTCTCCAACCTGCCTGCTCTCCTTCTGCCCTCTCCAACCTGCCTGCTCTCCTTCTGCCCTCTCCAACCTGCCTGCTCTCCTTCTGCCCTCTCCAACCTGCCTGCTCTCCTTCTGCCCTCTCCAACCTGCCTGCTCTCCTTCTGCCCTCTCCAACCTGCCTGCTCTCCTTCTGCCCTCTCCAACCTGCCTGCTCTCCTTCTGCCCTCTCCAACCTGCCTGCTCTCCTTCTGCCCTCTCCAACCTGCCTGCTCTCCTTCTGCCCTCTCCAACCTGCCTGCTCTCCTTCTGCCCTCTCCAACCTGCCTGCTCTCCTTCTGCCCTCTCCAACCTGCCTGCTCTCCTTCTGCCCTCTCCAACCTGCCTGCTCTCCTTCTGCCCTCTCCAACCTGCCTGCTCTCCTTCTGCCCTCTCCAACCTGCCTGCTCTCCTTCTGCCCTCTCCAACCTGCCTGCTCTCCTTCTGCCCTCTCCAACCTGCCTGCTCTCCTTCTGCCCTCTCCAACCTGCCTGCTCTCCTTCTGCCCTCTCCAACCTGCCTGCTCTCCTTCTGCCCTCTCCAACCTGCCTGCTCTCCTTCTGCCCTCTCCAACCTGCCTGCTCTCCTTCTGCCCTCTCCAACCTGCCTGCTCTCCTTCTGCCCTCTCCAACCTGCCTGCTCTCCTTCTGCCCTCTCCAACCTGCCTGCTCTCCTTCTGCCCTCTCCAACCTGCCTGCTCTCCTTCTGCCCTCTCCAACCTGCCTGCTCTCCTTCTGCCCTCTCCAACCTGCCTGCTCTCCTTCTGCCCTCTCCAACCTGCCTGCTCTCCTTCTGCCCTCTCCAACCTGCCTGCTCTCCTTCTGCCCTCTCCAACCTGCCTGCTCTCCAACCTGCCTGCTCTCCAACCTGCCTGCTCTCCAACCTGCCTGCTCTCCAACCTGCCTGCTCTCCAACCTGCCTGCTCTCCAACCTGCCTGCTCTCCAACCTGCCTGCTCTCCAACCTGCCTGCTCTCCAACCTGCCTGCTCTCCAACCTGCCTGCTCTCCAACCTGCCTGCTCTCCTTCTGCCCTCTCTCCTTCTGCCCTCTCTCCTTCTGCCCTCTCTCCTTCTGCCCTCTCTCCTTCTGCCCTCTCTCCTTCTGCCCTCTCTCCTTCTGCCCTCTCTCCTTCTGCCCTCTCTCCTTCTGCCCTCTCTCCTTCTGCCCTCTCTCCTTCTGCCCTCTCTCCTTCTGCCCTCTCTCCTTCTGCCCTCTCTCCTTCTGCCCTCTCATGCTCATTCGCACGCCTCCCTCCCGTCTTCGCACCATCATGCCTCCCTCCCGTCTCCTCTCCCTACCTACTGCAGGATGGTGGAAACCTTCGTGGAAGCTTCCTCCCTGGAGGAGGTCCAATCAATGGTGGATGACTTGCCAGCTGTCTCTCCCGGGTCGATTGATATGTCATCTTCTGCATTCGCTGATGTCAGCATGAGAAGCAGCCAGACCAGCGTGACTAGCAGCAGCCTCGCCACATCAGATGCTGAGCTGGAGAGGATGACAGCCGCGGCACTTGCGATTGGAGGCGGTAACCGAGGCAACACAAGACAATACATGGGTAGCCACCACCCTTCATCGTCAGACTATTTAATGCCATTGGGAGACTCGCAGCAATCGGTGCAAAAGCAGGAGCAGCAGCGCGGGCATCGGCCACACACCGCACCCGCTAATCGCCAACCCATAGCAGTCAGATCGCTTTTTGAAGGAATATCGGGAGCTTTTAGTTCTAGAATTGGAGGAGCTATTCCAGGTGCAACATCCCTACCAAGGACTCAACCTTGACAGAAAGAGTGGAATTGTGCAAGGAGAGCAAGTGCAGTATTTATGAGATGCTGCAATTCTCATTTGAGTTCAAATTTTGTTTGTTATGATGGACTACTGTCAGTTCTTAGCGCAATAACGCGGATGATCCTCACGAGCCCGCAAATCTGCATGCACCGAACCAAATTCGTTCCTTTTCGAGCTGGCTTGGGCTGCGCCGATTTGTTGCGCCCGTGAGCGCATTCCGCGCACTTCTCCCGCACACCAATTCATTCTGCACTGACCCACCGCACCCGAGCCCTGATTCATTTTCCCCCGACGCCAGCTTTCGCTGAATCTGGACCACCCGTCGCACGCTGCACATGAAGAAAAGAATAATACGCTCGCGACATTCGCCCACGCGAAGATCTTGGAGACACCCCACCAGGAGGGCGAGGCAATTCAAATTCGCCCCTCGAAAGGTTGAGCTGAGGCCCACACTGTCCACGTTGCCAGCTGCGATTTCTTCTGTTCAAGACCGAAAGATTCAGACATAGCTTCTGGGGGAATTCCACCTTCGCCCCGTTCGCACGCGCGCAGAATCTCTCCTGTCACTCTCGCTCCACCTCTGCGCCGCCAACGCCTCCGCGATCGCCGCAATGGGCGCCTCATATTGCGGCCGTCGCGTCGCTCTTTTCTGCCTTCTACTTGTCGTCGCCGCGCCGTGTCTGCTGACGTCAGCGCAGTTCCCCATCCCCTCGCAGTACGACGGCTTGGTGTACGGTGCTGACGTCAGCGAGCGGCAGCCGGTGCTGCTGGAAGCCTTCTTGGATCTGACGTGTCCGTCCTGCCAGAGCGCGTGGCCCGTGTTGCGCCACGTGGAGAAGTTCTACGGGACGAAGCAGCTTCGTTTTGTCGTTCATCTGTTCTCCAACGCGTAAGCTCAGTCGCCCGTTTTGAGAATTCTCAAAAGGTGACACAAGCAGCCATCCCCTTTTCCCAAGCTTACGCCACAGGTCGCCTTGTCCTCTCGTTCCGCCCGTTCTTTCTTCCGCATCCCTCTCACTCCCTTCCGCCTCCTCCCTCCCAGATTCCACCACAACTCGTACTCACCAACGCCCCCAACGCCATCGACTTTTGAAACATTTCAAGGCCCCCCACCTTCCTCTTCGCCTTCCTCCCCCGCCCCCCCGGCCTGCCCCGCAGTTTCCACCACAACTCCTACTTCGCCTCGCAGGCCACCAACGCCGTCGCCGCAATCAACGGCTCGCTCGCGTTCGACTGGATCGACGCCGTCTTCGACGCGCAGGACGACCTATCGCTGAGCGGCACGTGGCAAAAGACGCCCGAGCAGGTCGCGGCGCAGCTGGCGCGGCTCGCGGCGGAGCGCCTCGGGATTGACGAGGAGAGATTCAAGGAGACGTTTTTGGATGCAGAGGTCGAATGGCGCACTCGACTCGCGTTCAAGGTGCGTGGGCGAGAGGTTATTGAGTGAGTGGGTTAGAGTGAGTGAGGGTGACCGAGTGAGTGTGAGACAGCCTATTCCCTGAAGGAATGGGGAAAGGAGGATGAACAATGAGAGGGGGGCGCATAATATTATGGAAGAAGGGGAGGAATGGACTATCCTGGGCACGAGCTGCACTTTTTTTGTCCTTGTTCATTCATTCACATTAGTATACGAGGAAACTATCCCGATAACGTGGGTGTGGTTGTAGCAGTTGACTTTTGGGTCGACTCAAAAGTCACTACAGGAGGATATCCGGATAACGTAGGTGCAGCTGTAGCAGTCGCAAATATTCGGAATGGTAATCGCGCGCTTCCCAAGCAACTGAACTGTTTCGCAACATTTTTGAGGCGCCTCAGAAGCCATTTGGTGCTCTCTCGCTCTCACAGCACCCTCCCCCCTCCACCACTACGGGTGTCACTTTTGAGAATTCTCAAAAGTGATTCCCACATTTGGTGCTCTCTCTCTCTCTCTCTCTCTCTCTCTCTCTCTCTCTCTCTCTCTCTCAGCACCCTTCCCCCTCCACCAGTACGGGTGTTCGCGAGCAGTGGTGTGAACGCCAACCTACCTGATGAATGGAGTGGCAGTGCCAATCGCTGTAACCAGCTGGACAATCTATGACTGGCGCGCCGTTCTAGACCCCACCTCGTTGGCTTAACTTTCTCCCCCCGCCCCTTTCTCCCCCCGCCCCTTTCCCCCCCCCGCCCCTTTCTCCCCCCCGCCCCTTTCCCCCCCCGCCCCTTTCTCCCCCCCGCCCCTTTCCCCCCCCGCCCCTTTCTCCCCCCGCCCCTTTCTCCCCCCGCTTGTTAGCAGTACGGGTGTTCGCGAGCAGTGGTGTGAACGCCAACCTACCTGATGAATGGAGTGGCAGTGCCAATCGCTGTAACCAGCTGGACAATCTATGACTGGCGCGCCCTTCTAGACCCCACCTCGTTGGCTTAACTTTCTCCCCCCGCCCCTTTCTCCCCCCGCCCCTTTCCCCCCCCGCCCCTTTCTCCCCCCGCCCCTTTCTCCCCCCGCCCCTTTCTCCCCCCGCTTGTTAGCAGTACGGGTGTTCATGAGCAGTGGTGTGAACGCCAACCTACCTGATGCCTGGAGTGGCAGTGCCAATCGGTGCAGCGGAGTGGGAATGGGCCATCTACGACTGGCTCAGCTCCCTCGTTGCCTCCGCTGTTTTGTAACTTTCCCCCCTTCTCCATGTGTGCAGTACGGGTGTTCACGAGCAGTGGTGGGAACGCCCACCTACCTGGTGAATGGAGTGGCAGTGCCCATGGCTGCAGCCGAGTGGACCATCTACGACTGGCGGGCGCTCCTCGACCCCCTCGTCACACCCACTGCTCGCCTCGGCGCAAACGCCCACTCCCCTTGAAAGCTGGCGCTCGAGTGAATCAGCTCGCTGCAGCCCAACCAGCACGCTAGGAGCCTGTCGACAGGAGATCTCCTCCACCCCTACAGCCAGCCTCACCACCTCCTGCAGTTTTCACCGTACGCTCTTCGAAACCCGAGATACCCAACTCATATCAATTAAACCTAATGAAGTAGAATGATACCGGTAGGACTGTTGCATACTGGGTTTCATGGAATATGGAATGATGCTCCTTTTGCATACAATGTTTCTTGATGATTGCGGCGGAGACAGCCACACAGGTAAACATGCTACAGGACTTGCACTTCTTTACCCAAGCACATGTACAGCAACAATTTCCTACTTCACAGGACTTATTACTGTTGCATCAATTGAAACAGTGTTACATTGGGTTTGCCAGCACCAGCCGCAGCAGGTTGGGTCGGTCTTGCCGAACCTTGGTGCCAGCTCCGTATGAGGCTCGGCAGGGGCGGCAGTCAGGCCAGGGGGTCCAGATGCGGGCGATGGCGCCAAGGAGAGCCGCACCTGTGGGGGTGACAAGTTCTCCCTTACACCCTGCAGAGAACGTTGGGATATTGGCCCTGTTGGAAGGAAGGGGGGAATGGGGTCAGGGCATCGCAAGGGCAGCGGTCAGGACAGGAGGACCAGGTGTGTGGGCGATGGCAGCAAGGAGAGCCGCACCTGTTGAAGTGACCACCTCGCCCCTGCACCCTGCACCCTGAAGCAAGGAGAGCAGGGATTGATGCTCTGTCGTAGGAAGGGGAGGGAGAGGTGGGTGCGAGGGGGAAGGGTGACCCATGGAAGGGGGGAAGGGATCCAGGTGTGGGCGATGGCGGCAAGGAGAGCCACACCTGTGGGGGTCACGAGTTCACCCTTGCACCCTTGCACCCTTGCACCCTTGCACCCTTGCACCCTTGCACCCTGCAGCGAATTGACTTTTGAGTCGACTCAAAAGTCATCTCTACGAGTTCACCCCTGCACCCTGCGGCGAATTCTGGGATAGATGCTCTGTTGAAGGGGGGCGAAATAAACAAGGAGGAAGAATACGTGGTTGGTAAGGGGATAGGGGTCCGAGGGTGGGCGACGGCAGCAAGGAGAGCTGCACCTGTGGGGGTGACATGACCAGCTCGCCCCTGCACCGCCGCCTGGTGTGCGGGATTGACTGACTTATTTTTGAGTCGACTCAAAAACACTGTTTTTGTTTTTGAGTCGACTAAAAAATAAGTCTGTTTTTGAGTCGACTCAAAAACACCTGTGAGGGTGACATGACCAGCTCGCCCCTGCACCGCGGCGTGGTGTGCGGGACTGATTGACTTACCGGCACACCACGAGGGTGGCACAGGATCTCGAGGGTGGCACAGGATCTCGAGGGTGGCACAGGATCTCGAGGGTGGCAGGGGCAGGGGCAGGGGATGGCAGGGTTGTGTTGTGAATTCAAGAGCCACCTCGCTGTTGGGTTGATTGGGTTCACTGCAGTGACAAGGTATTTTTGAGAATTCTCAAAAATAGACTACTGTGATGGATGGCGTTGTCTGCATTGACTCACCGGCAGATAATTCTGCAGAGTAGCAGGGGTGGGGGAGGGCAGGGGACCGTGGGCGGCACCAGTGATGATGCCGCGTGCCATGGGGAGGGGCGATGCTGCTATGTGCGACGGTGCGAGGAAGTCAGTGGCTGCTGCTGCCGCCACTGCCACTGGATTGACTGGGTTGACTGGGTTGACTGCATTGACTCACCGGCATAGAATCTCCAAAGTCGCAGGGGCGGGGGAGGGCAGGGGGCCGTGAGCAGCACCAGTGATGATGCCTCGTGCCATGGGGAGGGGCGAGGCTGCAACGTGCGATGGTGCTAGGAAGTCAATTGCTGCTGCTGCCGCCACCATATCTACTATGCTGTCCACTGCCCCTACCTGCGGCAAATCAAGGTAGAATGTTCATGTGGGTGGTGGTGAGGGCATGGGTGCATGTGAGGCAATCACTGCTGCTGCCACCATGTCAAACATGCTGTCCACTGCTCCTACCTGCACTTTATATGTCATGGGTGCATGAATCATGGGGTGATGGGGTGCATAAGAGTATAATGCTGCCGCTATCACATCATGGCACATGGGTGCTGTAATGCCTACATCACCATCACATCACATCACATCACATCACATCACATCACATCACATCACATCACATCACATCACATCACATCACATCACATCACATCACATCACATCACATCACCTCATGGAAGTGAACATCATCCACGGCCATGCCATGCACGCATGCCTCCATCAGTGCATGGGTGCATGATTATGTGCCTAACACAACCACGACCATTTTTGCCCACCACATCACCTCATGGAAGTGAACGTCATCCACAGCCATGCCATGCACACACGCCTCCGCCTCCGCTAGCAGCCGGAACGCTCGGCTGGCAATGGCCCTGGCGCCACGTGGCAGGCTGCTATTGGCCAGCAGATGGCGGATGGTCGCGTAGTCCCTGTAGGGCTGGTTCGCCCCGTCATCCACAGAGAAGCTGCCAGGAAGGTGCGAGAATGGGTACGAGGAAGGTGAGAGGAAAGTGGGAAGGAGGTGTATGTGCAGATGTAATGATGACGATGGAGTATAGTGTCTTACGGCGGAGCAGCAATAGCGGATCGTTGGGTGGCCCATCGCCCGCACTGCCCCCTCCACCAACGTTGTCGGCACGCCCAGATCCAGCAGCGCTGCTACTAGCATGTCCCCTGCTGCAATGTTATTATTGAGACGACTCAAAAACATGAAAGGGCTCTTACAGTGGAGCAGTAATGGCGGATCGTTGGGTGGCCTCCACCCTGCATGTGACATGCTTCAGCCTCATCGCCTCCACTGCCCCCTCCACCACTGTTGTTGGCACGCCCAGATCCAGCAGTGCTGCGACTAGCATGTCCCCTGCCGCCCCTGCCACGTGTGCGTCTATGAAAAGAAGCTTCCCCGCTCCTTCCCCGCGTTTCAGTGGGGGGTTGCGTGGGCGCCACGTGGATGGGAGGAAGAGCGGCTGATGTGGTGAGGATGTGTGGGAGTGCGGTAAGGATGGGTGCGCTGGTGAGGGGTGGGTGTTGGAGGAGGTGGGAGGGATGGAGGATGGGGAGGAGGAGTTGGAGGGGTGGCTGTGGGTGTGACTGTGGCTGTGGGTGTGACTGTGGGCTCGTGAATGTGTGTGATAGTCATGGTCATGTGAATGGGTATGGGAATGTGAATGTGGGACATGGTTATGGGTATGGGCAAGGGCGTGGTCATGGTCATGGTCATGGTCATGGTCATGGTCATGGTCATGGTCATGGTCATGGTCATGGTCATGGTCATGGTCATGGTCATGGTCATGGTCATGGTCATGGTCATGGTCATGGTCATGGTCATGGTCATGGTCATGGTCATGGTCATGATGATGGTCATGGTCATGGTCATGGTCATGGTCATGGTCATGGTCATGGTCATGGTCATGGTCATGGTCATGGTCATGGTCATGGTCATGATGATGGTCATGGTCATGGTCATGGTCATGGTCATGGTCATGAGAATGTGTGTGATGGTCATGCTTATGTGAATGTGATTGTGTGCCATGCCCATGCTGATGATGTTGATCATGGATATGATTCTGGTCATGATCAGAAGCCCCGTCGTGGGTGTGACTATGCCGAATGGACCGTGCGTATGAATCCGAGTCATCAACGTCCGCGTCCTCTACAGTCACGCCGCCATGGAATCTCTCCCCTTTGCCCTCTGCTTCCTCCTGAATTAGATTTTCATGTCCTCGAGAATTCCCCTGCTTATGTCCCCTAACAAGCACTTGCTTATATCGAGTACCCTTCACATTATTCACGTGCTTATTCCGGTTCTGGTAACAAATGCCTGGACGAAGGGGGCGATGCAAACCACGATGCGTGCCGGGAATCCTGAGATTGATTGCCACGAAATTCCTAGAAACTATCCTCGACCGGATCCCGTCGCTATGTAACCCTAACGACGACGGCCTGTGCAAGCTCGCTGAGGTCGACGATCGGGCCGCGTGTATGCGCGAGTTACGCAGAACATTCGCGTCGCAATGACGCCAACACGGCATGAACATGGAGCCCATTTCGACCAATGGCAGCATTGCGTGGGCAATGCGAGTAACCTGCAGCTTAGAGACCTGACGGGCGGCTCATAAAGTAGAGCATTCTAAGTTATCGTGCAGATAATCTGAATGTCAGTGCCATGCAATCTGCCATTCTACAATCCGCCATTCTACAATCCGCGATTCTACTGTGCAAGGCAAAAAGGTAAATTGTTTGCTCTGAATTGCAAATTTGGCAATATTGAGAAAAGAAATAATAAAATTAATTTTCATATTTCATATTGGAAAAGCAATAAACTTCTTTTCGGAACCAACCCTTTACCATCACACAACTTGAAAAGATGTGAATAAAAAAGGATTAGGACTTTTTTTTTTTATCGAAGGTTCACATGTTATAGGAATTCTGGGAAACAACATCCACTATTTGATCCTTGAACATGCTCTGTTCCGTTCACCATTGCCCCCTTCCCCCACCCCCCACACACACACTACCCCACCCTGCCACATGACAACCCTAACTCTATCCACATATCACCCTCTAACCTATCATCCCAACATCCCCATATCCCACCCCTCCATTGGTCCTGTGGGCACTGGATCCAACCTCTAGGTTCTGGGACGGGGAGGAGGGGGACGCATGGCCCTGGCAGGGCAGCAGGAGGAGGTGCTGGGGGGGTTGGGGCCGGTCTTGAAGACGACGCAGCGGCGGGCCTCGGGGTACGTGGGGTTGTTGTCGCTGGGGTTGATGTTTAGCACCGTGCCGCCCTGTGGGATCTGGGCTGTCAGGATGGGCAGCCGCACCCACCTGTTCTGAAAGAATGCCACTGCTTGCTGCGCAGGGGAAAGACACGCACACCCAAAGCGCAGAGGAACACGTGAGATCACTTTTGAGAATTCTCAAAAGTGATTTCAATATATCTTGCTGCACAGGGGAAAGACACGCACACCCAAAGTGCAGAGGAACACGTGAGAAGCACATGGCACGAGGTGTGCAGAGATTTGCCATCCGAAGACATTCGCTGCCATCCGTAGGAGATGAGCAGCAAAAAAATAGGTCAGGAATGAGTTTTGCTATACAGAAACATTCACGCGCACCCGTAGGAACTGCTTTCTCCCCACCTGGCTGAAGGAGCGCACGAAGACCCGGGAGCTGTTGCCCTCGGAGGTGATGTAGAACTGGTTACCAGCGTCGCACGGGCCTGTGAGCGCCGTGGTGCAGAAGAAAGTGGCGATGCCGGTGCTGGAGATGGTCACCCCGCTGCCCTCCTTCACCACCACTGGCGGGCTGATTGCGAAGTCTCCCGCAGTGGCGTTGGGCGGCATGATGCTGAGACACACACATGGCCAAGGGCATGGGTAGGAAAGGAAGGGGAAGGGAGGGCATAAAATCAAGTCGACTAGGTGACGATGCTGGTGCTGGAGATGGTAACACCACTGCCTTCCTTCACCACCACAGGGGGGCTGATTGCGAAGTCACCCGCAGTGGCGTTGGGCGGCATGATGCTGGATTGGGACAGGGAGGCCGTTACTATCAGAGGTTTGAGTACATCCGATCAAGATTTCAGCAAAAACAGCATCTCAACGCGGTTCCACAATGTCTTGATCTACCCCAGTGCCCCCCTCCACCACGCTGGACGGCAGATGCTGGTTGCAAGGAAAAGACGAGGGAATGATGTAAGGGGGCATTATTGGAAGACAGATTTCAGTCCAGTGGCGTTGGTGGAACGAGGGGGGTTAACCAGAATCATTGATGAGAAAACAATCAGAGAAGAAACTAGTAAAATCGCTCTTGAAATTCCCTTGAAAGAGAGCAAATAACGTTAGACACTATACCACGCCACAGAGCACCACAGGGACTTCAGAGGAACTTTTTTTGAAAATAACCAGAAATTAAAACGAACGAGTAGATAATGGAACCGCTCAGATTATAGTGACGGATCTTCAGCAGAAATAACTCACCAAGAAATTTCCACAAAAAAAAAATCCCAACAAGAACCTTTGCGCTCACTCAAAGGTGGGAATTGTGTCGGTGGAGCCTTCAAAGACGAAGTCGCAGCCATCGAGCGGCCCTCGGGGGCCCACCTGGCACTGCGCGGGGCAGGTCGGCTGCCCCACCTGCTGCAGCCCGCGCCTGCTTGACAGACCGGACGTTCCGGCGCCATTTGCGCTAGATGAGATGGGTAGGAGCAGAGGAAACAGGAATACGAATAGGAGGGCCATGGTGGTGCGGATAGCCGTGAGGGTGTTACAAATCCTTCACGGGTTCCGGCAATGGGTTTGGAAAGGATTTGCAAGGAATCAGGAAGAGGAAGACGGGAAGGGTGGGAAACGGCAGGCCTTTTCAGCGGAAGTAAGAGCCTATGATAGGAGATAATCAGTTCCACGGCGCGTTTTACGGAAAGCGGCACGCTATGGCGTGCTCTCGTCATCTTGGTCGGTGGCACAACTGGCGGCCATAGCTGTGATATTTGGCGAGAGAATGAGGTGATGGGCATGGAACAAGTGTCGCCCTGCAGCCATTCCAGACTGGAAGCTTGATAGGAATTTTGGTGAATTTTCCGAGTCGCACATTTGACACCCGAGCCGCATGCTGCTGGAACGAGGCAGACAGCCATCACGCGAATCGTTTTTGCATAACTGAATGTAGTAAACAGAAGGACGTGATGGTTGAACACAAACTTCTTTTAATAGCGCGTAAAGGATGCGTCAACTCCCAGCACTTTGGGACGTGATTAAATAGCGCGTCAACTCCCAGCACATAACTGAATGTAGTAAACAGAAGGACGTGAGGGCCACTTCTTTTAATAGCGCGTAAAGGATGAAAGCTCGTGGTCAACCACCATTCGAACCCAATTCCCTTCCGCGATATCACCATCACTCTCTGCATTTCCTCTACACCTCAAAAACCATCCTACCCATCTCTCGTAGAACTAAATTTAGAATTTATTTTCGAGAATTTAGGTTCGTCGGTTGTGCCCTTTATCGAGGACAAATTTCGCCACCTTCGTCTCCTGCCTTCTCCTCGCAGCCCCCCTCCGCTCCCTCCCAGCACTCAACTCCCCCTGCTCGCTAACCCTAAAATCTCCTTTCCCACTTTCTCTTTCTCCTTTCCCGCGTAGTCTCGTCCCTTCTCTTCCTCCTCCCCATACGTCACCATGGTGAGCAATGCGTCAGAGACGGCAAAAGCTGTTAGTGTGAACCGATCGAGTCGCATGCTCCTGGTTTTCTGGCAGAGTGTCGCCAGGGATAGCTTGTGCTCCCATAACTGATGTTTGAGAGGGAAACGTCGGCATGTTGTTCGCTCCTCCTCTGATCGCAGCCGTGCTGACTGCTCTCCTTTGCCTAGCGATCGCCGCCTTATCGCAACTCTGCGTCTGTGTTCATATCGTTCCGTTTTCGCATCCGTCTCATCCCGACTTCATTCGACTCATCGCGATATTAATTGTTTCATCGCAACTTGTTCATCTCATCGCAATGCCATTCGTGTCACCTCGTGTGCTCTCGTGGTGCAGGTGAAGTACGCGAGGGAACCCGCCAACGCCACCAAATGTACGTTCCACGTCATCGCATCACACAGGGATTTCCCGTATCGTCGCGACTTTAGTGGGCTGTCGATTGGCGTCGCGCGCTTTTGATGTAGCATTTTGCCGTTGCCTCCTTCGGCTAGATCAAGTGTTTTTCAGAGCTCGGCGTATGATCGTGTCGATCGTGCTTCGGTAGATTCTGAACCAGGAAATCATGTTAGGGCAAAGCTCACGGAGGGGCAAGTGGGCGATTAAATGCGAGCGCGGCTCGATTCGGAGTCTCGGTGCTTTTAAAAATTCGGCATGTCGAAACAAGATAGACTTTGTTCGTCCGCAGGCCGCGGTCGGGCTCAGGTCTAGACTAAAGCAAACCGAGTCAGGGTAATCTCTGTGGCGCGTTTTGTATCGTGTTCACGTATCCGCGAAGAAATTTAGGGCACGCCTAGCAATGTACAGGTTGACTCAGATGAACTCAGGTTGAGTATCGTAGCTGCAGTTTCTGCAGTTGCCTCCTCCTCGCTCGCCTTTGTCAGTTTGCTGCGAGGAGCCGTTAGGTGCTCGACGTTTTCATAGCCGGTTGTTTAAGCGCCCTAGAAGGCCGTTAAGTAGTATCCGTTTCTGCGCCGGTCGCGGTAGGGACGAAACTCTGCCATGTCATATTGCAAAGAATTGCCGACGCTAGTCCTGAAGCCGCAATTTGTTCGTTCTCTTCTCACGTCTCCCTTCCGTTCCCCCATTCTTCCTTCTCCTGTCCCCTCCTCTCCTCCCTTCTGTCCTCCCGCTGCTCGTCCCTCTGCATCTCTCTGCACCCCTCTGTGCCCCTCTGCTCGATTCTGGTTACAGCATGCAAGGCGAGAGGCTCATACTTCCGCGTCCACTTTAAGGTAAGACCCGTTTCTCGTCACAACTGTCCCCCAGTATCCCCTGTGTTGCGTTCCTTCTTTCTCGATGCGATCACACCTGTCTCTGTTGCACCGCCTATATCACATCCACCTACCTCCCTCCCCCTTCCCCGTCCCCTTCCCCTCCCTCTCCCCCCCCTCCCACCCCACCCTCCCCTCTCCTGCCAATCCCCTTGCCTTTCGCTGAGACCACTAGTCTCGTTGTTGCTGCCGATTCCCATGTCAATCCCATTGCTTGCTGCGGTTCGAATCCCCCGACTTCTCGTTCTGCCGTCGCGCCCTGTGCTGTCATTCTCCTTTCCCCTCACCCTTGCGCTTTCGCGGCCCCCGCCCGCACCCTTCCCCTCTTTCACCAGAACACGCCAGTCACAGCCGAGGCCATCAAAGGCTTGCGCCTTTCGAGCCAAACACTCTCCTCCCCCCCTCGCCTCATTCAACCCCCTCCCCCTGTCCCCTTCTCTTGCCGTGCCACCCCCCGTCCCCCCGTCCCCCAACTCTCTTCCTCTTTCCTCCCTCATTGGAACACGCGTGAGACAGCCCAGGCGATCAAGCACATGGGTCTTACCAAGGCTTACCCTCCTCCTTCCCCCTCCCCCCTTGTTCGCCCCTCCCTCGCATCCCTCCCCTCTCCCTCTTCTCCCCTGTCCCCCTCCGCAGAACACGCGCGAGACACATGGATCTCACCAAGGCTCCCCCTCCTCCCCCTCCTCCATTCTGTTTTCCCTTTCCGCCACACTTCCCTTTCCGCCACACTTCCCTTTTCGCAGAACACGCGCGAGACAGCGCAGGCGATCAAGCACATGGATCTCACCAAGGCAAAGCGGTTCCTGGAGGACGTGATCGCGCACAAGCAGGCCGTGCCGTTCCGCCGCTTCTGCGGCGGCGTGGGGCGCACGGCGCAGGTGAAGCTGGTGCATTCCAACGGCCAGGGCCGCTGGCCCGCCAAGTCCGCGCGCTTCCTGCTCGACCTGCTCAAGAACGCCGAGAGCAACGCCGAGGTACGTCGGTACTCGTCGGTACTCTTTGGTACTCGCCGAGGTCAGTGGTTCTTAGCGGGTGCTTAGCAGGCGCTTAAGTAAGAGGAGAAGAAAGTAGTTGATTGGTGTTCAGGGGTACGTCTGCAGGGGACGAGCTTAGTGATCGGAAGCTGTGGGCCGTTCGATTGGCGGATCTTGTTGAGTACCTAGGATGGTGACGGTTTCATCTAGCGGATTTACGGGCTGTGACGCGCAAGCGTGCGCGTGAGTAGACGGCGTTTTCGGGACTGTTGGTGGCGTGCCGCTGTGCCGTAATGCTGCTATGGCGACTAGGCGTGTGAGTAGCGTGGCGGAAGCGGAAGTTCAAGGGGGGGCGGTGCGGGTTAGCGGAAGCGGAAGCTGAAGCGGGTGCAGGAGGGGACGGGCGCGAAAACGGGTGCGGAAACGGAGCTGGGTGAAAGAGGAAGCGGGTAGTGGGCGCGCAGGCCTGGTGGCCTTGGTGACTTTTCGAGTCGACTCTAAAGTCTCCTTCTTAGGGGGCGCGCAGGCCTGGTGGCCTTGGTGACTTTTCGAGTCGACTCTAAAGTCACCTCCTTAGGGGGCGCCCAGGCCTGGTGGCCTTGTTAACGGAAAGGCGGAAAGATGGGACTGGTGGATGGCACGCGCGCGACTTAAAAAAGAAACAAGAGACTAACATCATGAAACAAGAGGCGAAACACTCGGCTTCATCAAGTTTTTAGAAACTAACATCATGAGATGTCTCAGGATTTCCCGTGCGAAGCGTACCCGAAGCAAGAGGCGAAACACTCGGCTTCATCTAGCCGCACGTGAGCCGCGACCCCAAACGAATTCTTTCTCTGTACTTCTCTTCAACCTCCTTCTTTTCCCCTCCCCCCCTCTTGCTCCCCACTTTCTCTCTCACCCCCCCCACCAGGTGAAGGGGCTGGACGTTGACTCGCTGCACGTGAGCCACATTCAGGTCAACCGCGCGCCCAAGCAGCGCCGCCGCACGTACCGCGCGCACGGTCGCATCAACCGTGAGTGCCAAGCCCCTCCCCGCCCCCTCCCACCCCTCCCCGCCGCTCCCCTCCCCTCTCGCCCCTCCCCCACCTGCGTGTTATGAGACGATTGTGAGGCACTTCAAGAGCCGCCGCACGTACCACACGGACGGTCGCATCAACCGTGAGTGCTCCGCCCTCGCTGCCCTCCTCCATCCGTGTTTGCCCCCACCCTCCCCCACCCGCGCTGCCCTTTCCTAGCCCCTTTTTCCTACTCTCAATCAGCCTCTCCCCCATCCGCTCTTCCCATCCCCCATCTGCGTTCCCTCCCCCCATCCGCTCTTCCCTCCCCCCATCCGCTCTTCCCTCCCCCCATCCGCTCTTCCCTCCCCCCATCCGCTCTTCCCTCCCCCCATCCGCTCTTCCCTCCCCCCATCCGCTCTTCCCTCCCCCCATCCGCTCTTCCCTCCCCCCATCCGCTCTTCCCTCCCCCCATCCGCTCTTCCCTCCCCCCATCCGCTCTTCCCTCCCCCCATCCGCTCTTCCCTCCCCCCATCCGCTCTTCCCTCCCCCCATCCGCTCTTCCCTCCCCCCATCCGCTCTTCCCTCCCCCCATCCGCTCTTCCCTCCCCCCATCCGCTCTTCCCTCCCCCCATCCGCTCTTCCCTCCCCCCATCCGCTCTTCCCTCCCCCCATCCGCTCTTCCCTCCCCCCATCCGCTCTTCCCTCCCCCCATCCGCTCTTCCCTCCCCCCATCCGCTCTTCCCTCCCCCCATCCGCTCTTCCCTCCCCCCATCCGCTCTTCCCTCCCCCCATCCGCTCTTCCCTCCCCCCATCCGCTCTTCCCTCCCCCCATCCGCTCTTCCCTCCCCCCATCCGCTCTTCCCTCCCCCCATCCGCTCTTCCCTCCCCCCATCCGCTCTTCCCTCCCCCCATCCGCTCTTCCCTCCCCCCATCCGCTCTTCCCTCCCCCCATTTGCTCTTCCCGTTCCCCAGCCTTTCAATCGTGTGCAGCCATCATGTTACACCTGCCCCACAGCCAGAACAAGCCGCCTCAAGACACCTTAAAGCCCCTGTTTCTCAATCTCCCACAATTCTCCATGCTCCTCGCCCGTCTACTTTCTGCTCCTGACATTCGTTCCTTCAGTTAACTGAAAGCTCATCTCTCTTCCTTACCTCCTTCCCCCTTCCCATCCTCCCCCCTTCCCGCACTTCCCCCTTTCTGCCCTTCCCTCTTTCCGTCCTTCCCTCTTTCCGTCCTTCCCCCTTCCCATCCTTTCCCCCTTCCCGCACTTTCTCCTTCCCGCCTTTACCCCTACCCGCCCTTCCCTCTTCCCGTCCATCACCCTTCCCATCCATGCCCGTTCCCGCCTTTCCCCTTTTCCGCCCTTCCTCCTTTCCGCCCTTCCCCCTTCCCGTCCTTCCCCCTTTCCTTCCTTCCCCCTTCCCTCATGTGCAGCCTACATGTCGTCCCCGTCCCACATTGAGCTGATTCTCTCAGAGAAGGAAGCGGAGGTCAGGAAAGAGGTGAGACTTCATGCACATTGACAGAGCATGTAAATGTGGGTATTTCAAGCTAATAGGGCGTGAAGGTGGCGTAAAGTCACTTTCGAAGGGATTTTTGGGGATTTTCAGGCAATGTGAAGGCCTGAAGCATTTGGAATGATAAGGGAAGTTTGATGCGGTGTTGGTTTGTTAAAGAACCTAGAATGTAGCTGGATGGCTTTTTTCTTTGCATGTGGTTGATTGTTCTCTGCCCCCCTCTCCCCTCTCTCCCCCCTTATACGGTACCGTATTATTTTGTGTAACAGGCTGAGGAGGGTAGCCGCAAGACTAAGAAGCAGAGCCGGATCGCAAATTGAAGCATTGACTAGATGTGGCCAGCATGTGCAGTAACCCATCTAGGTTGCAACAAATGTATGGTGGTTGCGTGCTGCTCATGTGCCTTGATGTCTAAATTGGTTGGAAGAAAATCATTCTGCCAATCCCACTTGATGGTAACTCCGTATTTGTAGATATCCTCACCCCTTTGCACAGCACAGTTAGCCTGAATAGGTGAGTATAACGAAAATTTGCTGAGCATAGATTTTAGTGGGGCTGCTTATTACGTGAATCCACAATCCCAGCAGCCAGCTGGATTTTCTTGTCGCTTTTGTACACAGGCATATTACTGATACACCTAATGCTCGTTTGAGTCCCCCATACTTGGGCATCCCTCTGGGCTTATAAGTGATTTGCGCATTTCGCTCGGTTCGTCGGGTTTCGCCAGAGACACGATGTGCTAATAAAAAACACAGGTTGTAACAAGTTTGTTTTATCCCACACAGTGTTGGTAGGCAAGCATTGTTGTTTGTTTGGGAACCTGGTTACCACTGCCTTTTCATTTCATCCCTGCACGCGATTACAACACATGTTCCGCCTTGTCACAAACACCCTCACCCATCGAACCCGCCAATAAACAATCCACACCTGTACACAGTCAATGACCGAGTCATTCCTGCGTGCTAGTGACAATGTGCACGAGACTTGCACATTTACACCTCAAACGAGCCATACTCAAGGGGTGCAGAGCACAACACCCTCACAGCCGCATCCACTCGGCGGCATCCAGGAAGCCGCCCATCACAACCGGCGCTCCTCCGTCGATGAGCTCCTGGCGGCGAGCCGCCTGCCGAGCCAGAGTGACCCACTCCGAGGTCGGCGCCGTCATCCACGCCGGCAGCACACGCCCACGGCGACGAGGTGTCTCAGCCGGCGGGGTGGCGCCCAGGGGCATTGCGGGAGGCGGGGTGCTGTTCAGGTTGAGCGCCGGACTTGCGCGCTCCATCCGGGCCCTGATGATGGGGTTGCGGATGTCGAACAGCGCGCAGAGGTCACGTGGTGTGATGCCGGTGGACTTCGCGTAGCCGATGAGCATCTCGCTTGCGGCGCGGGCGTAGCGCCGTGCCTCGTGGCAAGCCGGATTGGCGTCGTCATAGACGACTTGCATGCTGGCCGGGGCATCCCACATCTCGGCAGGCGGCAAGGACGGCGGCTCCGTAGCCAGCGGGTCCTCGCCCGGCTCGGTGCAAGTCGGCTGATTTTCGTCGATGCGTACGAAGTCCGTGGCAGGCATCGCCGACGGGCCGAGGGCAAGGCGATCGATGAGGATCCCCACGTCGCCCACTGCCTCTTCGAGCTCGGTGGGGCCGCCGTTGCCGCCGTTGCCGCCGTTGACCACATGCTCAAGCTGCATCTCCCATGCACGCGGGAGGCACTCGGTGCGCCACCAGCAGCGCTGAATGGTGCGACGCTCGATGTTCATCAATGCATCGAGCAGCCAGGCGAGCACGTCGCGGAGGTTCGGCTTGTACCGAGCCATCGCCGACGTGGCGCCGCTCTCTGCCCACTGCGCAGTGAACGCAGTCAGCCAGTGCGCCCGATACCTCGCCTTCGCCGTAGCAATGATCCCCTGATCGAGGGGCTGGGTGAAGCACGTGGTGTTGGGCGGCAGGTAAACAATGCGCAAGTTGCTGAGCTTGCGCGTGCGGAACCCAAAGAGGTCCTCCGTCTCGGCGCCTTCCGTCTTGAGCACGTGGCTGCTTGCGTTGTCCATCAGAATGACGATGTTCCGGCCCTCTGCATACATGGCCGTGTTAAGTTGCTCCATAAAGTGAGTGAACACCTGTATGAAAAACACCGAGAGCAAAAAAGATTATAACCTTGAGACATTTACAAGCACTATGTAACGCATACGCACGTTTGCGGCTAGACAAAAGATTATTAGCAAGAAGGCCGTAACTTCGAAACTTTTTATGAGCTTACCTCTTTCGTCATCCATCCTTTCGCCGAAGAGCGCTAATAGCACACCTCGTCCATCGACTCGACTTGTGTTGGCACGAGCCAGGTCGTGTACGTCCATGTCGCGCGCCATGGTCGCGACATGGTCGCGAATAGTAGCCAGTGTGAGCGGAACTCCGGCCGGGCCCGCATTGGCTATCCAGCCGGCCATAGCTCGCTCGAGCGCGGGATGTGCGCCGCCTCGGACGCGTACAATATTGTTGTTCGTCGTGGTTGAGACCCATCGATCGGTGCCCTTCAAAACGCGCCCGATCGTCGAACGGTCGGGCCTAATGCCGAAGCGAGTGAAACACCAGCGGGCAAGATCGACGTGGCGCAGCTGCGGGTTTGCGACATGGTGGGCACATATCGCCCTCTTGATATGCACGGCGAGCTGGGCGCGACGGCACAGGCGAGGCATGGCTAGCCTCGGCGGTCAATGAGATTCTGGTTGTCGAGTGAGTTTTTGCTACCTTTTTAAGAGTTCACCAAGTCCTCTAGGCGTCTTGTGTCTGGTGGTTTGTGCCTTGGGCGAGGTGCGCGAGATGCACAGATTCATCGCAAGCATTCAAACTTGAAACGTGGCGAGGGAATGACATGTTACCCCAACCACCAGTCGTGACGTAGGCAGGTTGAGCATCGCGTGGACCTAAAGGGGCGTGTACCGTGCTTGAGCAAGGTACGTGGAGAGGTGTATCTTGCTCAATTCTGTTTGACGCACCATGAACCCCCTACGTGGCACCGTGTCGTAGCCGAAATTGTTTGCGATGGGAAACGTATTTCGTTTACGTTTTCCCCCTATCATGCACCTGGTCAACAATTTAAGCCAGAACCCGGTTGACTCGGCTTGTCTGGTGCTACACGTCCTAGTTTTGGTGTCTTCTGGGCCAGTTGCAAATTGTTTCGCGGGCTTATACATGGGGTGCAACTGACCGGGGAAAAAACCACGGGTGCAGGGTTTCTAAAATGTGAAGGGCAGATTCGCGTGCAGTGGTTGGGCATCATGTGTATCCGCGGAATTGTGGACATTCGTCGTGAAGCCCCTTCTTTTTGGATGAGAGGAACATGGGGGCGTGTCCGAAGTGACTTATGTCGCTGGATGTCGCTGGATGTCGGTGCATGTCAGCCCTCGGAACGAATATTCAGACCGTCAGGATTCGCCGACATCCGCAAACGGATGTCCACGTTTCATTTCGGACTCCCCTAACATGCGAAACCGCGGCGTTCGCAGGCCAAGCTTCACTCAGGGCAGGTCATAACTCCTCGCTAGCGTTTCTCCCGTCACCCTCGAAAAGATCCCCGTTTTGAGGGTGTTGTTGGAAAACAAAACGAGCCCGTCGTTCTCCTCCACTCGATGCTTGGCGAGTCAGATTCGCCGAAATGAGATAAGGGCGCGTGTGATCACAGTTCGAACTTCCCAAAGTTCGAACTTTTAGAAAGGTTCTACACGGTAGGATACAATTGAGCGATGTCTCTCCACGATGCAAAGCGGTTTGAGTTCGAACTTTGACAAAAATCCTTGGATCACACGCGCCCTAAGAATCACTGTCGCGCAATTTTGTCAAATTTGCCCCCTAGCTGATTCAGCAGAGCAATTCCGCACAGTAGCTCAGTCCCTCACACTTACACGCGTTATCCCCGCCAGCACATATGCGTAATCGCCGCCATAGCCGTGAGCACAAGCTATCCATTGATGAGAAAAGTACAGCAGCCACAGCCTTTCCCACGACAGCAAGACCACAATGTTGAGCAGTGCTACTGTGGTATCGGTTGACCTCCTCGGACTTGGGGAAAAACGTGGCGTGAATGCCCCGCTCCGCATCATGGCGGACAAAGCCAAACAGGGAAAGGGCTGAGCTGTTTTGGATAGCGCCTGCCACCTCCTCAACCCCGACAGTTTTCATGGACGAGCCGCAGCCAGTTTACATGGATGAGCCGCAAAGCTATTTCAGTGCAAACATTTTCTCGGAGCACGTCAAACTGTACCACCCACTTTCGAAACCATGGCCGCCACGACACCTCTTTCCGCTCTGTTACTCGTCCTCGTCCTCACAACTTCCAGCTCCTCTGTTGCTCGCGCGCGATGGCTGCCTTCCATGCACGGCGGCTCCGAGAGAATACCGCACTTACCTGCAGCGGCAAGCACTGATACTCCACCACATGCGGATGCTTCCGCCACTCGCGGCGCCAATGTCGCGAAATGCGTCGCCGCGGGGTTGAGCGAGCTCTCCGGCTTCCACGGAGCGTCCAGCCGTCGCGTGTTTTCGACTCGAAGCGTTTTCATGGCGCCCGGAGCGAATGAGTGGACGTCCTTCGGGCCTCAGGATAAAGCGGACGCCCTAAGACGCCTTAGCGACTCGATCCCTAATCCGTCGTTCGCTGTCGAGTCAGTAGCATCGTATCGCCTCCTCAACAGCCTGTACAAGCCCGCGGATCACGCGCTTGTTGTCCTCGGCTCCGTACATTCGTCCGCACCTGGCGCGGCTGAGTCTGGAAGTGATAAAAACGGGGGGAGATTCCTCACTTTCTGGGACCAGATTTTGCCATCTGAAGACGCTTATAACGAGGATTGCTCCAAATGGGGTCTCAGCTGGCTGATGTGGCAAACACGCGACGAGAATGGTCTTCCCGCGAAAAGGGTTCCGTTCACTGCTAACGTTTCCGCCGATTCCGTCGATTCCGCCGTTTCCGCCGATTCCTCCGTCTCTCCTGACCTTGGAATGGCAGCTAAGGCGTCAGGACAACCGGCAGCAGAAGCGGCAGACGTCACTCCAGACGTTCTCAGAATGGATGACGATTTCGGACACCTGGACGAGGTCAAGTCGGCGCAGAGTGGCAACGAGGAAGCTACTGAGCACCAGAAGCTAGGACAAAATGAGGAGCCGCGGCAGTCAGATGTGATTTTCTACGTCCAGACGGCGTGGAGTGCGTTCGTGTCTGCTCTCGCGGCTGATGACGAGGCGTCTGCCTCGTCTATCCTGTTCGGTCCCGAAGCTGTGACGCTCATGGCTCCTGGTGCTGACAGCGTGACTCTTGCAACGGAACAGGAGAAGGCAAACCTGATCAATGTAAGCCCACTCTCCCCATTTTGCTGTATTGTTGTTCCAAGCTCATTACACAAAGTACATTCTTATGAGATACACTTTCATTTTGCTGTATTGAGATGGCTTGTTCTTCCTTTTCCCAGGAGCATTTGTGTGTCTCGATGTCTCACAGAACGGAGCTATGTCTGTGCAGGAATTGAAGGCATCACACCTGTCGCTGTCGGTGATGGTGGAGGAAGTCGCACTGTTGCAAGGAAGTGAAACCACGCAGGATTCGGGATCGACCATCAGCGCACTTGTCAGGTCGACATACGGCGTTGCAAATGCCCAAGGTACGTGCAAGCAGTCTGACTGAATACGTTGCTCAGATTCTAGAGGTGAAGCTGTTTTCTGAACCCAAGCTGCTGTTTCATTCCTGGCGTGATTACTTGGCCTCTGCAGGCATAGACGTGGAGCATGGAAAGAGAGTGGAGCTATGGCGGGCAAGTTCTACTAATGGACGAGAGTGGCACCTATCATGGTCCATGTGGAATGGTAATGGGCATGTGCTTACAAGGGAAGAGGCCATGGCTGCTTATGAAAACGACAAGTTTATTCCACACGACGACAACAAAGTATTTTCTAATTTGTAGGCAGTTTCTTTCAGAGCCATTACAAAGGGCTTCCGGGGCGCTGAAGTACCTATGTCACTTTAGATGTACCATTTGTTTTACAAATAGGTGCAAAATAATGTATTTTCTTTATTGGATTTACCGTATTTGAAGAGTCAGTGTAGTGGGCGAGCTGAATTACAGCCAGATTTCTTCTCTCCCAGTTTCCACGGACATTGGAATGAGGACAGAGGAGCAAGGAAAAGTTGCCTTCAGAAATGGGTTGAAGGGGAAAGGCCCTTCCCAGCGTGCTGCCCAGCAACAGCATGACATTTTCCATTTCCGCAACCCATAAATGCTGTTCTTGTTCCCACCATATTTACCTAGTGGAGAGAGATGTTAGAATCTAGCAGCAGGAATGGATGAACTAACAGGATGCAGGAGTACAAGTAGTAAACCCTAACTAGGTTGTACCCCATATGGGCTACCCCACTACAGCCTAGACAATATGCAGCACATATAGTTTGACACACCCCCATAGGCAAAGTGGGGGAGAACAAGGGGTCACACGACCAGTCAAGAGAAGCAAAACAAGCTCAGGGTGGATCACAACGTCACCACGCATTCTGAGCACAAGCAAAGGGCCACTGGGCCAGTTCACATGCAGAGATATATATGCAGCAATAACAGTACAGTGATGGCTACCTAGCAAGAGCCAGCATGCATATATATATATATATATGTACAGATCACAGTACAAGCAGAGACTACAGCAAGTGTGGAAACGTAGGCACAAGGCCTAACAGAGTACAAAAGCGCTGATGATCACCAGACGGAAGTGCCTTGGTGAATATGTCAGCAGTGTTGGCCCGAGTGGCCACGTGGCGAAGACGAAGCTGGCCTCGCTGCTGCAACTCTCGAGCCAGGAAGTACCGCAGAGCAATGTGCTTCGTTCTGTGCTCCAGTCTGTGCTCCTCACACAAGGCAATGGCGGCCTTGTTGTCAACGTACAGCACTGGAGGAGAACGAGGCTGCTCTCCCAAGTCAGTCAGCAGGTAGGTGAGCCAGCGTAACTCCTGTGCAGCCATGGCGGTGGCGTAGATCTCAGCCTCACAACTGGAGCCGAGAACTGAAGTCGAGCGTGTAGAACGCCACGAAACTGAACCAGAGCCAAGGTTGAAGGTGTAACCCTGTGACGACCGCTGAGTAGCCAGGTCGTCAACCCAAGAAGCGTCTGAGTGCCCAGTGAGGACAACTGGGCTCGTCCCTCCAAGCACTAGCCCCATGCCTGATGTGCTGCACAAGTAACGCAGTACCCTCTTAGCAGCAGCCATGTGCTCAGGTCGGTGCCGACCAGGAGCCACGTAGCGAGCCAGGAGACCAAGAGGGTACGCGAGGTCAGGTCGAGTGCAAGTCATCAGGTACATGAGGCAGCCGACTAGCTCTGGGTAAGGACCACTCGGCTCTACGGACTCGTCCGAAGGTGGAGCTGAGAGCGTGTGACCTGTAGCCAGAGGAGTGGCCTGTGCTGAAGACCAGGTGAAGCCGAAGCGCTGAAGGACCTGCTGCACCATGTGTGACTGAGTCAAGGTGATGGTGCGACGTGCTCTGTCTCGGGTGATCTGCAAGCCAAGGTAGCTGCGCAGCTCACCCAAGTCTGTGCACGTGTGTCTCTTCTGCAGCTCCGACTTCACGTGGGCGAGAGCCTCAGTGTCAGCAGTGGCAAAAACCAAGTCGTCGACATACACGAGGATGTAGAACGGCGGCAGGGAAGTGTCGGTGCGCAGAAACAGCGACGGGTCAGCAGTAGAAGGCGCAAACCCAAGAGCCGCAAGCGTAGTCCTCAGTGTGTCGTGCCACTCACGTGGCGCCTGGCGGAGACCGTAGACCGGCCGCCGGAGGCTCCACTGGGTACCAGGAGGGAACGACCCAGTGAAGCCCGGGGGGCGGCGCAGCCAGATCTCCTCGTGCAGGCTACCCTGCAGGAAAGCTGTGCTGAAGTCAAGAGAGTGAAGCTCGTAGTCACGGTGAGCAGCAACGTGCAGCAGCACCCGAAGAGTGGTCATCTTCGGAGTGGGGGAGAAGGTCTGGAAGAAGTCAACTCCCTCTCGCTGACTGAAGCCTCGAGCCACGTAACGCGCCTTGAAGACAGGCGGAGAACCCGGCGGCCGCTTCACCCTGAAAATCCACATGCCACTGACGATGTTCGCCCCAGGTGGGGGAACCTCGTCAACGTAGGTGCCTGTGGACTTCCAGGAAGCCATCTCTGCGTCCATGGCTGCCTGCCACTGAGAGGAGTAGGGACCCTCTATCGCCTCTGCGTAAGAGCGCGGAGTCGGGATGTCTGGTGCATCCGGGTCTCCCTCAGGGGCAAGTAGCGAGGACACAAGATGAGGTAAAGCAGCAGCAAGGCACTGGAACTCCTCCTGCCTGTCCTCAAGGACGTCCGTGCTAAGAGCACACTCACCCCCGACGGACGGAGGACAGACAGACTCAGACTCAGTAACAAGACTGGCAGTGAAGTCTAGACGACAGGCAGCAGCAAAGTCAACAAGCTCAGCGACAAGAGCAGACGCAGCAGCAGACTCAAACGACGGGTCAGTGACAACTGTGGCTAGTAGACGCGTGACAGTAGGGTGCTGAGCACGAAACCGGTCAGACGCAGGGTCCGGAACGTCAGGCAAAGAGGACGCAGGAGGAGACGGCAGAGGAACAGGCTGCGGAACAGAGGAAGGACGACGGACTACGAGGTGCGCGCTGGGGACAGCCGGCGGACGCGAACGAGGAACACGAGGACCGGTACGACCAGGACGAGCAGGCGAGACAGGACGCGACGCAGGCTCACGACGCACAGCAGGACTACCAGTCAGCTCAGCGTAAGGAGAAGGAGCAGGCAGCGGCGAGCCAGTCTGTAACGGAAGACCAGTAGACGACGGAAGAGTAAGAACCTGACGAAGAACAGAGGCAGACGGCGGCAGAGACGACGGAGACGGCGGAGCGAAGAACAGTCGTGTCGGCGCAGCTGCACCAGAACCAGCAGCTCCAGCAGCTCCAGTGCCTCCAGCAGCTCCAGTACCTCCAGCAGCTCCAGTACCTCCAGCAGCTCCAGAAGCTCCAGGCCCAGAGCCGACACCTCGAGTCCCAGGGTCTCCAACCTCTGTGTCTCCAGCAGCAGCACCCCCAGAACCAGCACCTCCAGTCCCAGGGTCTCCAACCGCAGGGTCTCCAGCAGTAGCACCCCCAGAACCAGCACCTCCAGCTCCAGGGTCTCCAACCTCAGCGTCTCCAGCAGCAGCACCCCCAGAGCCAGCACCTCCAGTCCCAGGGTCTCCAGCCTCAGTGTCTCCAGCACGAGCCCCTCCAGAACCAGCAACTCCAGCACCTCCAGTAGACAAAGGACCAGCACGACTCCGAGCTCCAGCAGCGCGACGCTGACGGCGACCGTACCAGTCCTGCAGCTGCTGTGGGGTGAGAGGCACACGGGGACGAAGGCGGCCACTCCAAGGAGACCGCGCAACAGCAGACTCAGAACCCTCAGCGCCCGCACCCCCAACGGCTCCAGAACCTCCGGTGTCAGTACCCTCAGCACCAGTACCTCCAGCGACTCCAGAACCTCCAGCGCGAGCACCCTCAACAGCTCCAGGACCTCCAGCTCCAGCGCCACCAGGACTAGGCCCTCCAGCAGCTCCTGAACCTCCAGCGCCAGCACCCTCAGTAGCTCCAGAACCTCCAGCGTCAGTACCGCCAAGCTCAGCACCCCCAGACCCCTCACACGCAGGCTCAGCACCACCAGGCTCTACACCCTCAAGCTCCGCACCCTCAGGCTCAGTACCCCCAGACTCAGCACCCCCAGGCTCCGCACCCCCAGGCTCAGCACCCCGAGCAGGACCACTCGCAGGAGGACCTGAGTCACCAGTGACCTCAACCGGCGCAGTCAAGGGAGGAGGGTCTACCTGAGAAACACCTGAAGGAGCAGGACCGGGAGCGGGGAGGGGGTCTACCTGGGGAGCACCTGGAGCAAGGAAGAGCGGCGGGGGGGGGAGCGAGGCAGTGCGGTAGGGGAAGAGACGGTAAAAGGGAACCGACTCGTCGAACGTGACGTCCTGAGACGCAAAGACACGGCGCGAGGTGGGGTGGTAAAACTGCCAACCAGGCGCGTCAGGGACAAAGCCAAGGAAGACACAGGGAACAGCGCGGGCGGAGAGCTTGTCTGCGGTGGTATCGCGGACAAAGGCACGAGCACCCCAGACCCGGAAACGCGACGCATCGCCAACCTTCCCCGTCCACAGCAGTGTGGGCGAGGTCTCCGGCAAGGAGACACGGGGCCAGAGGTTGAGCTGATGCGCGGCGTACCGGACCGCAAACGGCCACAGAAAATGGGGGGCAGCCGCATGGATCATGGAGGTACGAGCGACCTCCATGACTAAGCCAATGCGGCGCTCAGCAACCCCATTCTGCTGCGGAGAGGCCGGAAGCGTGAACGACTGGGTGATGCCGTGCTCCGCACAGTAGGCTGCCAAGAGGTCGGAGGAGAACTCACCACCTCTGTCAGAGTGCAGACGCAGGACAGGAAAGTCCGACCGGAACCGCTCGCGGAGCTGGAGACGAACAGCGCGGATCCAGGGGATCAAAACAGCAGGGACGTCCCCCTTGCTCTGCAAGGGGAAGACCGTGGTGTAACGCGTGTAGTCGTCGACGACCAGCAGGAAGTACCGCTCGCGGCCCTGTCCCTGGACGCGGGCTGGGCCCCACACGTCCAGATGGAGCGTCTGCAGTGGAGCCTCTGTGGGAGGAAACGAGGAGGAGTGAGGAGCGGCGCGCTGCCGCCCCTCGACGCAAGGAATGCAGGGCGGCGCAGGCGAGGGAGGGAGGGCAGGCAGGGACCTGGGAAGACCAGAGACCAGGGAGCGAGAGTGCATGCTACGCAGGCGAGGCAAGGAGGGGTGACCAAGGCGGTGGTGCCACAGGAGAGTGTCGTGCGACAAAGCGCGACACTCGCAGGGGGCCGCCAGCTGACCAGACGCAGACGCAAACGCAGACGC